GGCCATGCGATGCTCAGGGAAGTTGCAAACCGAAGGCTCCCACCTGCGACAACACAGGCCTCCATCAGCGTGTTGAAGTTGGACAGAGAAGGAAGCAGACCAAGTGTGGTTACTTTAAAAAGGCTTGAGAGGAACGCCTGGTCTCTTTAACATGAAACATTTTAATACAATTTTAATACAAATCACATATCTTTTGGGAAAAATAGCATTTTCTTTAGATGAGCAATCACAAATTTTAGATGTCTGATAATAACCCAGAGTGACAAGGCTGGTGAAAACCAACCTTGTTATCTAAACAAAAACATCCCAGAATAACTGTAAGGTATGGTACTGGAGACCTCATGGTAAGGAAGTGACCATTTAGTGCAATACAATGTGAAAATATTCGTTCAAAAGATGATGATTGGATCAAATTGGGTGAACAAAAACAGTAGAGTGTAGAATATGAGAGCCTGATAAGTTAATCTAAGTTATCAAGCCACCTTTTATTCCTTGTTTATGTTAAATATAAAAAATGGGACACAGTAATGTGTTATCTTCACCTCATGCTCCCATTGAGATGAAGATGTTTTTTCCTCCAAAATTTCATAATACGCTATTCACCGAGACAGTCTTGAAGATACATACAAAACAAAAACAACAAGCACTAATAACTTGTTGTTATAACAAGTTATAAATAACCCCACTGGTTTACTCACAGGTTCTGACTGGAAGCATCAGCCGCATGAATACAAAGGTATGTGATGTCCTGCAAAACAAGGATTAAACTCAAGTCAACCGCAGAATTCAGATTGTGGTTAAAGCTGGTTTTAACTCTTTGTTTAACGTAGTGTAGGTTATTTGTCTCGAGCTTTGCATTTTCAGTTCAACTAAACCTCTTTTAACACTGAGATTACACATTAGTTGATGCCACAAACTCTTTTACGTCAATCGAAGGTCACTAGCTCCCCCTGCTGGCTGAGAGGCTGAACTGCACATACTAAAGCGACCGCAGCCTTTAGAAAAATCACCAGATAAAATTTTCCACAGGAAGCACTGGTTTGATGCATTAAAAACACACCACGCAACAGCCAAAAATACCTCGTAGGCTGGTTTCTTCACTAACCTCATACACTGGCTTAGCGTTGTTGTATACTGAAAGGATGTGGGTGATTCCGTTTTTGGAGAGACCTTCTCTGTTTTCCGAATCTGCAAAAAGAAAAACAAGAAACACATCAGTCAAACAGTTGCTCAACTTGTGTTTACATGTTGTGAGCTCAACAGTAAGTTCTAATTTCAGACGCAAAATGTGCAGTCAGGCTGAGGATATTTGCAAAAAAAGTAGAGCATGAAATAGATTGAATTACCCCTCACAGACTTTTTTGAATGTTTTTTTTTTCTTTTGTAGAAACAGGTTTCAAAACCACAACACAGAATGTTGGAAAAACAGGTCAGTATGAATCCATCTGTGACTGGCTATCATCTAACAATAATCTGAGCTAACTCAGAGTCTAAAAAAGATATCTATTCAATGTAATCTTGCAGTAAAAAATAAATAAATAAAAAAATCCTTTATAGACATGTCTGGTGAGCAAAGAGGCTGGTTCAACACAGCCTGTAGAATACATATCATTAAAGAGTAAAGACAAAAGAAAATCAGTGTATGGTGGCTCTTTTTTAGAAATAAATGCATCTGAAGTTCGGTACACAAACTGCTCCAGAGCAGTTTAGATTAGGTTAGGTCATAATACAGCCATATTAAAATAATCACTTTTGTAACAGTGAGAACTCAAGCTTTTACTGTCAGTGTCTATCAGATTGCGTCCAGAATCGCAGTGTTTTTATTTTTAACCAAACCAGACAATCACCTTCTTGCTTGATAAATACCCATAAATAATTTTCTGTTTACACTCGAACTGCAGAATTTGTTATCTGTGCTTTCCATTTGGATAGGCACTGTGTTTTGCCTTGATTCCAAAGTTCTGCATCTCAAACATTCTTCACTTTTTGGCAATATTCAGCTTCATCCACAACTGCTGTTTTTATGTCATTGAAATTAACAGACCTACTGTGAGCTCCACACCTAAACACAACTGTAAAAGACAGGTTGTCAAAATGAAGATGCATACTTCAGGGTTAATATTTTACAGGAAATAAACATAACTTTGACCAGCAGTGCTAAAGGTTCAAATTGAGACAGAGCTGAGAACAAGTTCTTTGCGTTAGCTGGTCCTATGATCACTTGATCCTGTCAGCTGGACTAATTTTAGATGTGGTGCCACTGCAATCGGGTGGAGGAGCTAAAATTAGTGGAAATGCAAATGCCAGCTTAGCTGAGCGGAGGGTGTGCACCTCGCCAAACCAGCCGTCATAGCACTCACATGATTACCGATTCTTATTGCAGTCTCATCAGCATCTCTTTCTACATCATACTTATCCTTTCAATGAAACACAAACAGAAATCAGTTTGTAAAAGCGGCCAAAAAAAGATGTAACTGTTGGTTTGTTCTGTGCTACTAACCACAAAGAGCATACAATTTACTATTGCTTTTAAATGTGGAAGTACACTCCAAATTACCCACTGACACTGACATAAAACTAAATATTTAAAAAAAGGATTCAATGGAAGACTCTCTGTGTTGCATCAATCAATAAAAAACAATCCTAAATAGGCTATTATGCTAATAGTTATCCAATGCAAATAAGCTGACTGAAAGTCCAACATGTTCCGTCTGTTCTTTATGCTTAAACTTAACGCGTTGACATATTTTGAAACATGTTTGTCCTACCTCTGATGTTGCCCAGGTACAGTCCATCAACAACCTGTGAAGCAACAGACACAGACATCTTGCGTTACAATCACTCATTGTAACTCAGACACCAGAACTCTGCTTGTTCCAGGTCAGGCAAGGCTGGATTTAAGGCTTAAGAACTTAGCAATGTCCTCACAGCCATACAAGGCTGGGAGCGGCCATGCAGGACAAAGTGATGAGCGGCACCAGAGTCCTGCTTCTGGACCACAGTGGTCATCAGTGCCTCAGAAAAAGGGGGATTCCAACATTAATTTCCTCTCTGCAGTGAAGATATATGTTTTTTCCCCCACGGTGTGTCATTAAATAAAGCATTATCATCTCCTCAAATGCACCTAAATGTCCTAATGACAGGATTTCAAGAAGTGAACATATTTTCCACATCATTATGGCAAATATATTATTTATGTATCATTTTAAAAAAGAAATCAAAATAATTTATAAGAGTAACTGCAACAGCGCCTCCTATCTAACAACTTGAGCCTTGCTATAATCAGTTAGTTAGCATTTACTAAATGCATTTCAATCATAAATGAGTTTCAGTGATGGTTCATGTCAAGAGGTGATAAGCAATGACATTGTAAGTCATTGAAGAATCTATGATAATACCAGACAAGTCAACTCCATGTCTCAGTCTGACTGACAGTGACTTGTCAGACTATCTGGACACATCAGGACGGCTACATTAGAGGGACCACAATCGGTATGACTCCTGAGTCGGGAAGCAAAAGCACCACTGACCTTATTCATTCCATTCCCCATGATGTCTCTGGACCTGTTTACGGTGGTCTGCACCAGTTCGGATACCTGGAAAAGCTGCGCTACGTCAGCATGGACCTGCAGCGCAAACCGTGACACTGGAGCCTGTTAGTCCTGGCTCACGAAGCAGAGAAATGCCGACACCTATTGTGCATGATAACCCCACAGGTTCAGCAGGTTACATTCGGGAGCACCGTTGCCTTGACCTCGCCTCCGCTGAGCAGCAGTTCCGTCATGCTTTACCGTCTTCCGGGTTGTTTTGACGTGAAACAACTGTTCATCCGGTAAGTGGCATCACAGCAGGCTGCAGTCAACTCAGAGGCTGCTTAAGGCAGGCCGTTGTGATATTTATTAGAAACTACAAATAATGTTGTTCCAGACATTAATAATGGCATTCCTGCTATATAATGGCAATTCAATGTACAGTAATTCATGTTGCACAAAAAATTGATTTGGAAACCTTCAGTGCTTTTTCCAGCAACCGCGCATAATGCAAACACACAATTTATTTCATAATGTCATTATCCAATATAATTTCAATTTAGAATGAATAATGATATCATCTGGTGAAAGAGTAAAGAATTCCTGTAAGAAACTCATCAGCACCTCAATTTAAAAATGTCTTTAGCAAATCTGTTTTGGTGGCTGTCTTGTTCAAATAGAAATGTGGGATACTACCTGGTTTTAGATGGTTAAATAAACAATTTGTTGACACCATTTTCTCATGCATGGAAGATATTAACTCTTCAAATTGTTTCAAGAGTCCCCCACAAAACCATCTAACTGTACCTACAATAAAGCATTACTGTATGCATCATTTTTGTTATTAATGGCACATATTTTTTCAAATAACAAATATCTAATTGATGAATTTGGAGGACTGAGGAAAAAATGTTATCGACCTGTGATTTGCATTTCCAAAATAAAAACCTATATAATACAGATGAGCTGGAAGATCTAAGTTACACATGACTTAACAGGAATATGGCTCTGGAAAAAGAACTGTAGAAATAATAGACAAAAGTTAACAGTAGGTCAAAAGATGTTTATTCCAAGAGATGGGTCTGAAATTTGACGCGTAGTTTTTATACGAAAACCCTGAGAATATAGCAGAAAGCTGTCATGCGTTCTACAGAGCTAAGGGACCTTTACATTTTCATCTAGAAATATGATTAGCTTTTTGTGCAAAAATAGCTGATTTAATCCAGTCATCACCGTTGCTTGTAAAACAACACTAAAGATATATTTGATGAAGCTGAGTCGAATGCAGTGACAGTTGCAACAGACACATCTTTGAATATGGCCATCCAAATATTAGTTCAATTTTTAAAAAATAATTTTAAAGTTTTACAGAAATATTTACTGCTAAGCACATTTAAGATAACGATAATGTATTCCTTGTCCTCACGTTAAGGATTCCTTTTGGGAGAAAAAGACTCAAAAGCAAAGAAATAACTGGAGAGGTTTTATTTGGTTGAACACGTTTTATTTTATTATACACAGGAACCTTAGGAGGAAGTGGTCTTCCACAATTCACAGATTGCAGTATTTTGAACAAATGATAAAACCAGAAATATAGATATTCTTGTATCTCTCAAGTTAGATTTGCCTGGATGTAGGAACAGTAGGTAACTGTAGAGACCCATCACTTTTTCCACTGCTTGTTCTCGTAGTCCCACTTGGCTGAGAAGCCCTCGACTGGGTTGATTCTCATGTCCAACATCCTTTGCAGTTCTTGCTCCTTGTACAAAGGATCGAATGTATGTGGGACAGGTCCGTACACTACAAGTAGAAAATATAAAACTGATCAATAGACGGCAAGAAAGCCATTTTTGTTCTTCTGAAAACTAAGATATTGTTGATAAAATGACATTTACAAATAAATATTTCCTTATTTACCATATTTCCTCTGCCAAAGAACAAGCAGGCCAGTGAAACCCAGGAAGAACAAGATACCGCCAACTGCAGTCTTCCACTCCTGTGATCCCTGGTTCATCTCAGCGAAGCTCTCTTTGAAGCTGATGCGGTACACTGAACAGACAAGACACAAAGACCTAAATTGATTATTTCACATAAATAAATAAGCTTTATATATATATATATTTCCCTTATGCTAAAATTGGTTTTGACCAGCAAAGAAAGGCTGTGTGTCACCAAGTCTTACGTGCAAGCTTCTCCTCATTACTGAGAGCAGCCCAGGAGCCCTTCTCCTTCTCCTTCAAAGTCCTCTGTTGTGCACTAAGTTGCTGCACATAAGCCACTTCAGGAAGAGGGGTATCCCTGCTGTCAACGTAGTGGGGGAGCGTGTAGTCCTCCACCTTAGCAACGCCTGGAGAAAAATACACATTTATGTGAAATTTCAGATCGAACAACTTTGTTCAAATCAAAATATGTGTTCAAAGATTAAATACAAAAGTAACAAGCTTCTGACATCAACAACAATGTCTGCTCCTGTGAACCCTTGCTGGCTTGTTTCAAAACAATTTAGGTTTGTTTTTTCTACCTGAAAGTAGGATGGGAGGATATGAGAAAAATCTAATATCCTGATATATTTTTGCTATATCACGATACACAATATATATCATAATATTCTTAAATGAGCTCCAATGTCACTTTAAACTATACTCCTTGCAGCATTATATCACCCATGCAAGTTCCTGCCCCCATTTTTCCTGCTAGACTTAAATGTCAGCTCATATCAAAAGGGATGCAGTGTTTTGCTATGAACTGTCTACACTATGACAAGGTACCAAGGTGAGAAGTAAGTTTTAACTAAGAAAAGAAAATAGCTATGGAGAGGGAAGTAATTCAGTTATGCTTTACTTTGATTAACTTAACATAGATGTGTTGTTCGTGTGGCTAATAGCAGCGGCAGCTAATCTACCACAGTGATCACTTATTAATAATCGCAAAATACACATCAAGTTTAAAAGCATAAAACTGAAACAAACTAAATGTTCTGCTCTATGTCGGGGTAATGTTTTGAGTGGTTTTGGTTCTGAATTCTAATACATGCAGTTGCGTTGTTGTCAGTTATCTGAATGCAGCAGCCTTTGCAAACCACAAGAAAATAAAACATTCATCGCTTGAGCTCTACTGCTACAACAATCTGATCAGATGTCTCAATTTTTTTTGCATAGTCCTGATTAAAAACACACATGTGGGATATCAAACAGCTGCATACCAGCAATAACAGCCAACCTGGTATTCATTTTTTGTCACTCTTATACTTTGACTAAGATTACACTCCTACTTCTTTTGACATGTGTCTCTGCTTCAAAACACCAGAGTGAAATAATGTCATTAGCAGAACTTGACTCCATAGAGAGGAGGTATGGCTATTTGATTCAGTTTCAGGATATACGACCATAAGGCCTGGATTTGGAGATCTCTAGTCTAAGTGAATGATTGTCTTTTATACCATAAAGATTTGGTAAGAAAACATCAACATGTACTATTAGAACATCTACTGTAAAATAATCTGCTAGTGAAGGGGTTCCTAGTGATAAATCTCAAATTACACACAGACAACATAAGATGAAGAATTAGATGGTTTGTTAGAAATGCAGAGGATGCAGGAATCTTTGTAGCTACATTCTGTGATGACAATTGCATTTATGGAGCAATAAACTCTAGTTTTGAGTGTTACATTTGAAATGAAGTTATATTTTAACTGGAACCAACTCCTTGCACTGTTATATCAACACCCAGGAAAGGAAAATATTCATTTCATCTTGGCACCAGGACTCACCATGTGCTCCACGGACACAGACAGATGCAGAAATGGCTCGTTTGCCAATAAGGCTCAGGGCTCTTGATGCCAGCATTCTGTGGGAAACAATAAGTCAATACAATGCAAAACAAGCTGTGGAACTTTACATATTGTTATACTTCAACTTAAGACAAAAAGTAGCCTATTTCTCACAGACCCAGTGATAAACTGCATATGCATCAAATACTCGAAGAAAGTTTGTTGTAGATAGCAAAAATGACAATTGGTAAAAACTTTATACTGAATTAAATTATTTATGCATCGGGTATATAATTGTTATTTGCGTACGGCCATCACGAATAAAAGTCACTTCAATTAAATGGGAGCAGTTGCATGATGACCAAACTAAAAGGTGTTCAGCTCATTATGAGGACAAGCTAAAGTTAGCGTTAGCTACAAACACAAGGTCACAGTGCCCCGGAAAAAAATCTCACAAAAACTTTCTGTTTATTTAAAACAACATTGTGGTATTATTTATTTTTTTACGGACGAAAAAATTATAATCTTAAGCTTATGTCTGCCCGGGGAAACGTTTTCTACATCCACTTAATCAAGCTGTCCAAAACGTAACTGTGAAAGCTAACGATAGCTAACCGGAAAATTAGCCGAGAGTAAATGAATTAAACTGCCGTTTCGAATGAGGTACTGTATGTGATTATACACGTAGCGTTACATTGCGAAATAATCTGTAACTGTATTGTATTACCATACAATCAAAGAGCTGTAAGTAAATAAGGTACACGACCTGCACCGTTCCTTTCTCCTGTCCGCCTGAAAAGAACTGGATATTTGACCGGAAGAACGTAAGGCCTCCTCTGCCATAAGCTGGAGCTCGACTCGAACGTAGGCACTTTACGACAATGTTTCACCTCTTTACGGCTCCTCCGGTGCTACAGAAACGAATAGAAGGTGGACGTAAGATTAGTTTCTCTGACTGAACACGAGTTACTCATTTTACATAAAATACTGTTATAACTAACAATAACTACAAAGAGTATATGTACCAATCTGGAAGCATAGCAGACTCCATATGTTCAGACATTAAGGAAACTGCTGAGGTAGATTTCTACTTTTTTTTTTTGGCATGATCGGTACCGACAGCTAGCAGCAGCAACTAGCCACTCTGACACTTTGAAAGGAACTGTCCGTCCACCTGTTTTCTTCCAGACATGCCTATTCAGTTGACCAGTCAGGCGTACTGTAAAATGCTTTTACATACTGCCAAATATCCTCACTGTGCTGTGAATGGGTTGCTGGTGGCAGAAAAGACAAAAGAGAAAAAGAAAGACGGTCACAGTGGTCCAGTTTTGTGCGTGGACTGCGTCCCTCTTTTCCACGGTACTCTTGCTCTGGCACCAATGCTGGAAGTAGCTTTGACACTGGTAAGTGTTTTCTTTTTTTACCAATTGAACTACATGCAGCTGTTGGCTTATGTGGCGGATCAGGTTGGGATGTATGCCTCGAAAAAGAGGGGTGCAGTGTACGGGCTTAGTTTGATTTAAAGCTCATGTGAGATTCAGTTGGTTGTTGAAGTTATGTCAGTCTTTGTGTAATACATTTGTCACCATCTTTTCTTTATTCGACTTGATGTTGAGGATTTTTACAAAAAGATGTTGGTGCTAGAAAGGTTTTTGAGTTGTTGTGCAATTTTGACTACATTGAATCTATATTAAAAAATAAACACCAATATTAGGGTTAAACTATGGGTTGGTCAAAAGTTCTGGGGTTCTGATGTTTTTTTTGGGGGGGGTGGCTTTTTTTAAATCAAATACACAAATCTGCTTTTCCCTGATTGATTAAATTTTTTGTTTGAAATCAATTCCAATTTTAACCCACTCTAGTTTTTTTCTTCTTCATTAATTATCACTGCAGCTCCTAAAATTAAGTCTACACATATAAAATCAAATTTCAACACAGCCATCATTTTGGTGAAAATGTTTTCATCTTATTGCATTTAGTAAAAAGAAAATTGTTTTGTTTTTTGTCTTTTGAAAATGTTCATAATCTAATCTCAGCTGTCATTCTGACCTTCCCTGTTTGCTTCCTTTCTATTTATGTCAGATTGATACTTGGTGTAAAGAAAATAATTACATCATTGTCGGATATTATCAAGCCAATGAGCAGACAAAGGATTCGAGGTACAAAGGTTTAAATGAAAATCCCAGTCCTGCTTTTTCAGTGAAACTAAAAGCATTAAATTAAGGTGATGCATCATTTTTTCTTTGTTCAGGCCAAATCAGGTTGCTCAAAAAGTGGCTGCCAGGATTTCGGAGAACTTCAGTGAAGCTGCTATTGTTATGGTAATGTTTTGTCATTTAAACTAGCATGGCTTTTTGTACCTGACATCAAATAATTTAATTGCCATTTCTACAGGTGGACAGCAGCAGATTGACAATGAGCTGCTTTGAGCCCATTGTGTTTATCCACGATCACCATGAGAACAAGTGGAAAGTCAGAGAAGTCACAACGTAAGTACTTGAGGCACACACAGTGTTTTACTAAAACTGAAGTTTATTTACTGGAGTTTACTGGGTGGATATTTTTGGATACTTTTCAAGGGACGCTTTTGAGGATTGGAGCGAAGCACAGAAGATCACGTCTGCCCTGCTGGTGGGCAGGTCCTATGAGAACTTGATTGACTTTGACAACCACTTGGATGATCTAAGGAATGACTGGACCAATCCTACCATTAACAAATCGGTCCTGGATCTCTGTTAAGACTTTCAGTGCAAATCCTCTGAGTTCCGTGTGAAATTTTGCATCTATTTCTGCTCGCATGATGCTACATTAAAAACCTCCTGCACTGAAGGAATTGATGGAGCACTGATTTTTCAGACTGAAGTCTCTCAACTGCAGCCGCCACACATGCACAGTTGGCCTCGGTCCACCTTTACAAGGTGATGCTGAGGTGATTCTTAAATGAAAAACTTCCGTTATTTTGATTTTTGAACTTGTTTCTACAGATGCGTGGAAAAGATCTAAAATGTTTGACCTTTGTAAATTGTAAAGGTAGTAGCCATACTAAAATCAAGTTCTAACTTATTAATAAAACATTAGTAATAATTTCTAATTTAACGTGTGACAATAAAACTATAGAGATGACTTCTAATTTTTATTTTTTAAGGTTTAAACAAAATTCACATGTAAATGCACCCTGATGCTGGAAAAACCTACCCTGACCTACTCCAATGCTTCATGCTAACAAACGTCCTTATTTTTCTCTTTCCACAACATTTTTGGAGTTTTGAGTTTTGGGTACAGATAGGTTTAAATTTACTGTACTTTTTTAAAATGTCTAAAATGTATCAAGTCATAAGAATGTGTGAATTTTGTTTTTCACTAGATGCTTGTTTGAATAACTTGCTTCCAGGTGTGTGTTCTTAATTGACATCTAAATCACTTAAATATTGGAATTAGATAAGGATTTTGACGTCATAGAGCTGCCTTCGTATTGGATAGAAGTGTCCAGAATTAAAAACTTGGCATTTTTACAGAACCTTTATGAACTGAATGTAAAATGAAATTGGTTTCTTAAAGTGTCAAGGTACTTGCTGAAGTTTTTTTTTTCATTTGTGAAATAAATTTGCAGTCTTTTATTCAACTGTACTCATCATTTTTTAAGACTACATCAGGTGTGCATCAGATAAGCAGAAAAGCTTCTTGTTACTAAGATACTGCAACTTGTGCTGAGTCTGCATCTTTAAATCTCATAATTCCGCACAGTTACTTATTTTATTTCTGAAAATAAATTGTATTTTAAATTGCAATAACTTACAGAAAATTAGTATTTTTGCTGTAATACACGACCTCATAGGCGTAACTTCCTGAAGGACTGATGTGGACGTGTCCCCACCAACGTTGGCCTGTCATGGACAGTCCCCACCAATATTTCCTGCTTCTGTGACATTTGGCTGACAGGCAGGGAAAAATTAAACAATCACCCGTTTTTCTACATTTTTACCTGGACCAATTGCATGATTGAACATGGCAATATTCAGATCAATCATCAAATAGGATGAAATATTTTATAAGTCACAAAGAGCCAAAGTTTGTTAAATTTTAAACCTTGGCTCCTACAGCGACAAGTGAAATTAAATTATTGGTCAATGTCAAAGAGAAATTTGCTTTGTCCTCTCTTGTATCTTTATAGAACTGACAGAAACCAAACTATTTATAGATTTATATGCAGAGAGAATATATATTTTACATGTTCAAACATCAGCATCTGAGCTTTAAGGCACATTTTTAGAATCCAGTAATGTCGATGGTCACTCAGGCCCAACCAACCCAAAAAGGTTTTTCTGCATCTTTTAATATTTGCTACGTTAAAGCAAATGTACACAGCACATACAGACTCATTCCATAAATTAAAATATAACAAACGTTCCTTTGTTAGTAATTCCATCACCAAGTGAAAGACATTATATAGATTAATTATATGTTTTAGCATATTTATATTACATAGTATGTTTAAGACCTGGTTAGAGGTTATTCTCGAAAGGCACTGTTAGTCTGACAAGCCTGATCAGGATGTATATCTTAATTTATTGAAAATGACTGTCAGGCATCACATGCAAGTTTTGGCATTATTCTTAGCACTAAAAAATAAAAGGTCTTCTGTCTATACTCTCCGATCCTTCTCTGAATCTATGAATCTATGATGATCCTCATCAGCTTCTCCTAATTGTAAAAACAAGACCTTGTTGTCATAGATATCATCATAACAACTGTGTGAAAGCGTAAAAGTCCAAGGAACAATCTTTCTCGCTGCACAGCCTCCATAGATCGAGGGAATGGTGTGCTGTTCTTTTTTGTTCCGTTGTTGTTGTTCACTGCCTCAACAAAAAAAGAAAACATTTTGAACAAGTCTACAGAAATGACCCATCAGAGCTACTCTAATATGCCACCATATTCTAGAACTTTTTATTTAATGTTGCAGATCTTGCCTTAAGAAATCAATTAAATTTTTTTTTTGCATAAATCAGCTTAACAAAATATGTGTATACGTACATATATTTATTTGGGAACGATATTCTCTTGAATAAAACATATATAAGGTTTCTGGTCTTCTTGTTTCAGTCCTCTATAACCTCAGGCCCAATAAAATGAGGACAAAGGAAGGTTGAAAACATCGCCATCTAGCGGCCCCTGGCTGTGGCTGCCTTCACAAGGCGCCGGTCATTCATTCATTTATTTTTATTTTTCTAATTAGTCCGAGCTAACTGTCCAAAGGAAACATAATGACAAATAACTCTTACACGTCTGAAACATATTTCAGAGCACGACGACAAAACAGCCTTCATGTTGTGTGTGTCGTACTTCCGGGTGATGACGTAGTGGTGCGCACCTTTCCTGCGCAGGCTCGTCACAGCTCCTCGCGCGGGAACTCCAGTCAGAGTGCTGGTATGAAAAAGTCAACGGGAAGCACAGTGACGATTCGCTATGGACCCTTCAGAGGTTGAATTTCTGGCCGAGAAAGAGTTTGTGAAAATAATCCCAAATTTCAGCCTGGACAAGATCTATTTAATCGGGGTGAGTTTTGTGAGGAGACCTGCGTCAGATGTGTGTGTTAGACTGTATGTAAATATTTTTAACCTTTTAAATCTTTTTCATTCGATGCGTCAAGACACTTATTTTCACTTCTTACTTGTTTACATATCGCAATCAATGGATGTTTTTCCTGAAAACTTGCATTCGCTCCTGACTTCAGGGGGATTTGGGGCCCTTCAACCCGGGACTCACTGCTGATGTTCCCGTGTGGTTGGCCCTAAACCTAAAGCAGAGGCAGAAATGTAGGATTCTTCCGCCTGAGTGGATGGATGTCGGTAGGTTTTCCATAAGAATACACCCAACTTGTGAAGTAAAATTAAAGTGATACATGTTTTTTTTTATTATTTTATTTTATTTTATTTTTTTTGACAACGAACATAAACCTGAAAAGTGTGGCGTGCATTGGTATTCAGCGCCCTTGAGTTTGTGCTTTGTTTGCCCACCTTCAGTACAATAGCTGTTTTAAATTCTACTGTGCAGACTGGCTCCATCTCAGACAGACGAGGCAAGAAGCCTATGTGACAAACAATTATTTTTTTAAAGTTTTGGCACAGATTTTCAATCGAATTTAGGTCAAGACTTTGACGGGTCCATTTTTAAAGAAAAGAAAAGAAAAATCTATTTTGATCTGAACCACAAACATTCATCTCAGTTCTTACCACTGATGATTCAAGTTACCCTGATACTAGAGATCATGCTAAGCTGTAAAATGATTTTTAACATTATTAAATGCTAAAATACTATTTTTCATCAAATCTACTGTGGTATTTATATTATTTTGTATGTTTATTTAAGCAGATATTTCTCATTGCTAGTGTTTTAGTTCAAAACAAATTGTTGACGCAACGTTTTTAAATCTAGCAGCATCAGTTTTGAAAAAAATAGCTTCACAATTCTTAATTCAATAAAACAATGTGTACATTTTCTATAAACTGTACATCCTGTTTATAAAAGCTTGGGTTATGAAACTGAAAGAAGGATTTTCTCAAATAACTAAAGTTTTTGTCTCTGTGTATTGAACAATGTAACTTTTCATTGTTTCACTGGTGCAGCTGCACAATGCAGAGCTTCTTTGATCTCCATAAACTATGAAGTGCACCAAAAAATTGGAAATGGGCTTCGAACTGTGTCTTTTCAAGTTTGGATTATTATTGTTTTTCCTGCTTGCAATATTTTTATTCAAACTGTTTTTCTATTTTTAAACTCAGAACGTGCATAAAAGCAGAAACACACGGCAAAGGAGGGATCCATAGAAACGACAAAGGAGGAAAAATCAGTGCTAGCATAAAAAAAAAGTGAATTCCATAATAAACATTTTTGCAGATCTTTTCCTTCTAAACACCTTCTGCCATCATGCAGAGAAACTAGAGGAGATGCGAGAGTTTGAGAGGAAAGAAGACGCCTTTACTCCTGCGCCCAGCCCATATTACATGGAGCTAACCAAACTGTTACTGAACCAGTGAGTAACAAACATAAACGCGCTGCATTGCATCCCACGTTGCTCTTTGTCGAGGTGATGCCAAGACCTTCCGTTGCTGGTTTTTCTCTCTCTTTAGCGCGTCCGACAACATTCCTAAAGCTGATGAGATCCGAACTCTGGTCAAAGACATCTGGGACACCCGGGTGGCTAAACTGCGTCTGTCTGCCGACAGCTTCATCAGGCAGCAGGAGGCTCACGCTCAGGTAACGTGGGAATAAACCACACCGCTGTTCGACTCACCGACAAGCAGAATGGATGCACGTGTAACACTAACCTGAACACAAACTAAAGCATTACCCAACATGAAACGACAAGGAGAGTGCAGAAACGTATGATGAGGTTCATCTTCAGGTGATCCACCTTAGTTAGGCAAACTTAAGCTTGCAGCAATTTAACAGGATTACCAGTCATAGTCACAGTGTCTTGCAGAATATTTCAGATTATCCTTTTATCCCTTTAGCCTGTGTCTCGGCTGGTTCCTGTTTTGCTTTGAAATTGCTACAGACTCGTGAGAGAAATGGCCACTTTGAGGTGCCTCAGTGTAGCATAAAAAGTCAATAAAAGTTTTATGTATGTTTTTTTTTCTTTTTAACAACTGTCATTATCTGTCGGCCCACTGACAGAGGCATGCTGGTGTACCAACTGAACATTGTATAAAGAATAAAAAGCTGCCTCTCAGTTAAGCTTTAGTACAACTTCTGACAAAACCATGTAATATTTCTTTAAAAACAACCATTTTCTCTTAAAAAATGTGAATGTTACACATTTACAAATAGTAAATGCCTATATTAGATTAGGGTATTGACTAGCAAGTGTCACAGTGCTACATCAGTGTCTTCATCCTGTGCTTTGCTCTGCAGCTGGACAACCTGACTCTGATGGAGATCAACACCATAAGAGAGTTTCTTCTCGATTCTCTCAACTGCATGTACAAGCTGCGCTCCAACCTGCAGCCTGGAGCCACGAAGGGCCAGTTTGCAGATTATTGATCCAAAACACCAAGGTCTTTTGGATGTTTTCTGAATTTTTAGAAGATTGGACTTCAACTTTTGAACTCTTTCGTTTTATCTTAAGGAATCACACTTCATTTGTGAAAAAGATTTGAATTTATGGAAAGCCTGTGTTTTATATGGATTAATTATTTGTGATTAATAATGGAAATTCACATGCTATGGTTTCTAATGTTTTTACCATGTGACAAAATAAATGTGCTTTTGTGTATGTTGAGTAGTTTTCTGTGCGAAGATGTTTGAGTGCTTTAGCGGTTCACTTCCTCAGTAATTGATCTAACATCTACAGTAGTGTGAACATGTTAGTTGACTGCTTAAGAAGTAGTATTTCTTCAGTTCGTCAGACCTGTAGAATGAATCACTTAAACAGAACAAGTCTGACAACTGACAGTAGGCTGAAAGATCTGAAAGAGAAACGCATCGTGGTGTGACCTGAGGAAAATCATTGTTATTGATGCAAAACTTTACAAGCCGCTGGGATCCTGTGAACCAGTGACAGCCACCGGTAATGATTTAATATCCAACAGACCGACAGCCATGGTAAAGATTTAAGGTCAAAGCCTCTGGACAATCTTGATTCCCACAGCTTTGGGGAAAATATTCTGTGGCTTGTTCAGACCAAAGTGGAGCTCTGTGGAAGATGTGGGCCACGGGACAGCTGACAAAGAACAAACAGTTCTTCAGCCTTACCGTTATCAAACGTGGTGGTAGAATGATGGTCCGGGTTGGTTTTCCTGCTTCATGACTGGGCTGACGCTCCCCAATAGACATGACCATGAACTCTATAGAGCTAGGACAATAAAGTTTTGGTGTGGCCTAGTCAAAGTCTGCATTCTAATGCAACTGAAATGCCAGTGATGAATTAAAAAGAGAGACGTAACTGGGTGCAAGGGCGGCTCAACTAAAGTTGTGTTGATTACTTAATCACATGGGGTCAGGCTGGCTCTGGCAACTTTCCCTTATCAAAGAACTCATTTGAAAATCGCTTGTTCACATTATTTTGCTCATTGTTTGATTATTTAAATTATTTGAAAGTGGGACAAATAATTTAAAAACTAAGAAAAATATCTTCCCAGAGTTTCATAAACATATAAAGTTTCCAGAACAGGATCTGGGAATCTGTTTAGTTTTCCATTCCTCGGAGAATTCCCACCCAAAGACAAACGATAACACATTTTAATGTTTGACATTTTTGAAGTATTTTATTTTCTTTTTTGTCAGAAATCACAGCCATATATTCATAAATACCTAATTACTACATTCAACAAAGAATATATTACATTACAATGAATTTAAACAAGTACATTAATAATAATAATAATAAAAAAACAAAAACAAATAAAAAAACAAAAAAACAGGATTTCACAGCATCTAGACATCCTCCACTGAGTAACAGGGCTATTGCATGGGCGTGCGCGGGTTGGAGATGGAGACCCGGGGAGGTTGAGGAAGAGCCTTATCTCACTGCACTTTCCTCCCCAGCGAATTGGCAGCTTACCTCAGCTTGCATGCATCCTCATTTGCTGATAGGCGGCACAGGTGGCTCTTTGCTGCTGTGGAAAAGTAACAGACTGCACTTTTTAATTTTTATCTAGTTTAGGTCTTGCTCATTTCAACAACACAAATAAAAACAATCCGTTTTGAATGAATGAATTAGTGATTGGATAAATTTATTTCATGTCATCTCGAAGTCTTATTTTGAAGGTGTGACATGCTGCAGACACGTGGATGTAAAGTCCCTGATTGCCGATGTTCATCGTGTGGACTGCAACTCATTCACATGCTCCCAAATTACTGAGGCACTTGGAAGGGATATAGGGTTCGCGTGGCATAATTGTGCTTCAGTCTTAGTCAAAAAATCTAAAATTTTCGAAAGGCTTCATGTTTTTACATCAACACCTTAAAAAATGACAGTCATGTCGAATGGCCTCCAGGGGTTCAGATGGCACATTCAGCCCTAAAACTCAGGCTGAATGATTCTGATGGTGAATGAAGTAGGTGAACGTCTTGGACAGATTTCAGGGGCGAGGAGAAGTTGTAAACATGTGTGCAACGTAAAACAAACAAACAAACAAAAAAAGCTCTGTAATCAGGTCCAGCTTAATTACATGTGTGATTTTGTGGCTAATATTTCGAACATGATGACAGCTTTGGGCAGCATTGGGATCCTTCAAAAAAGGTCAAGAGAAATGGAAGATTCTTGATGGAAAGTTTGGCTCTCCAATTACAATTTTAATCAAAATTAAAGACGATAAAATCCTTCAATTTTTTTTTTTGGCACCGTGTCCTTTGATGACTGTTTGATAAGGGCTTAATTTTGTAAGGTGTAATGATTAAAGTGGCTTCAAAGCTATATTCTGTAAATGAGTCGATATTTAAAGTATTAAGAAGCAGTTTAATCTGCTGGCTGTTTTTGAGGGTCCCTAAATATAAACTGTAAAGGTGCATCCCAAAAAAATTAGACCATCACCAAAAAGTTTATTTCTGTAATTCATTTAAAAAGCTCGCAAGAATAGTAATGGCACCCCAGTGATGGTATGGGGTGCTGTGGCATCTGCTGGTGTTGGTCTGTTTTTTTTTTTGTTTTGTTTGTTTTGTTTCATCATGTCCAAAGTCAGCATCTACTATCAAACTTTAGAGAACTTTAGCTTTATGGAGATGCTGATTTCATCTTCCAGCAGGACTTAGCACCTACCTTGAGTACAATGTCATACACTGAGCAGCAAACATAGACATAAATCCGACAGGGAATATTGTTAGAAATTGTCAAGAGGAAGATGGGAGACCCAACAGTTCCAAAGCAAACCTGAGCACCTCATCAGAACCAGAGGCTCCATGTCACGCTGCACTGACACAGTAATTCAAGCAAAAGGAGCCCTGACCAAGTTTTGAGTGCAGATACTGTACTGTAAAATAAAATAGCTTTTTTTAATATCTGTTTTTAAAGTCTTTTTTTAATTAGCTGGAAGCCATAATCAACTTTAACCAAAAATATTTTCTTGAACTAGATAAGTCTACATGTAATAATCTCTAAAATATGACTTTGCCTTTGTGAATTGAATAACTGAATTGTTGAGATGCACCTGTACATCACTGTAAGTCTGATTTATGGGTGAAGATATGACTAACTAGTCATGCCGGCAGCAGTGAAGCATAGCAGAGGAGGGGGAAACACAGGCATGTTGCTGTGCAGCAGGGGGTCGGGGGGGGCTGTGCCTCGGGGTCTCTGAGCCAGCTTTGCTGAGCTCAGAGGCCAGATGAGGTGGGCTGTGGCTGGGTCTCAGCTGCTCTGAGTCCGGACAGGAAGAACGCAGGAGCGCGTCCTGCTTTCACTCCATCTGTAAAACATCTCAGAGTGCAGAGTGAGCTTTTTCTGGCCAGCAGCAGCAAAAATAACAACAACAACAAAAAAAAAACACTAAAAGCAAGGCTTTTTTTAACCCCCTCCCACCCCCCCAAAAAGCATAAACATATAAAAATGGCAGGCTTTTCTTTTGAAAGAACAATGATTAAAGTAATAAAAACATACAAAATTCATTTAAGTCTTCATATTATGTACAATACAAGGCTGAAGCACCCTTTAAAATTCTTATTTTCAAACTTTCTATTTTGAAATAAAACATTTCCTTAATTCTTTTCAAAAAAATTTACATTTTCTAAGGTTTTCCCTAATTTGAATAGTTCTTTGTTGTAACACAGTACCAACAGGTAGTTCTTCAGCTTTTATTCTTAAGTGCATTTCCAGTTCAAAAGCTCACATAGCCGTTGTGGTAAAAATCTGTCCCAACTGGCCGGAAGCCTTCGTTTGGAGATTCGGAGCTTTCAAGTCTTGTGATGAAACCCCTCGAGGGGCAAAGGGGGGCAGCTGCTCCTTCATTGGCAGGATTGTCTGTGTGGCTGTGGTGGTGAGGGATGCAGGAACTAAACAGCAGAGCAGCAGGAGCTAAAGAATGTGACGAGCAGGCATTTGCTTGAAACTGTGTGTTGATCTTCAGGTTCTCCTGCTTCGCTGAGCTCAGGGTTGGCTACATTGGCACGCATCAGTGGCTTTTGGAGCAGTCCCTGGCAAGCCACAGTCCAAAGACTAACTGTCCTTCAATGACTGGTCCTGTCTCTTGTGCATTCACCTGTTTATTCATTCACTCAAGCCATTTAATTCACTAATCTTATCTAGCCAGCCACATTCCCCTCCACGAAGCCACAAGGACGAGGCCGTGAAAAAATAAACTCTAAGTCTGAAGGGGAGGCGGCCGGGAGCAGGGGGTCTTCAGGTTGGCGTGTCGGGGTCACCTTGGAGGGTATCCTTTGTAATGGCTGCCTCTCGGCCAATGTGTCTGCGGGAGTGTCAGACACTTCCTGAAGTGCTCCAGCTCTGCTTGTAGCTTCTCCCGCTCCACTGCCAGCTTCTGTCGCTGCGACATCAGCTCCTGAGCAACAGAGGAGGAGTCAAGTGTTACAAAGGATGGAGAGACGGAAAAACTGAAAGTCACCTGAATGAGTCTTATAGACATCATTCTATAAGAGAATGGAGTTTTAGGAGTTTTTATCTACTCCTGAAGATTAGCACTACAGATTTATGTAAAAAATATTTTGCATCCTTATCTGACTCTGGATCAGTAACTCTTCATAACCAATTTTTACCTCTGTTCTGTCCTTTTCTACATCTAAACTAATATTTTGCACTATATTAAAGTTGGCATAGTAAGGGTATACAGTAGATCCTGGGTATTATCATAATGTTCTCTCTCTCTCTCTCTGTGTGTGTGTGTGTGTGTGTGTGTGTGTGTGTGTGTGTGTGTCTTACCCCCATGCTGTGAGACAGCTGCTCAGCAGTCAGACTGAGGTTGTAGTTCTGAGCTTCTAGTCTTCGACACTGGCTCTGTAATACTTGCCTCTCCAAAGTTTGCTCTGTCAGATGAAGCAGGATATGGAGAAAGAAACAAATAATGGTGTTACAGTTAGAAGTTAAGAAGAAGGGCAGAGAAAAGTTTCCCATGTTCTGTACTGTGGGTGCAAGTCTTCCTATTTCAAGGTGACAGGAAGCAACCTAACCAGCACCTCCTGAGCCCACTAGGGTCAAGGGTGAACAGAAAATGGATGGAGAAAACCACCTATGAGAATAGGGTTAGGGTTAGAAGAGTAAATACCTCCCTCTAGTGGCAGAGGAATGCTACAACAACAATATATATTGACAGCAAGCTGAACTACATATACCTTTTAACCAGTTTACATCTGGTCTCAGAAAATGCCACAATGTACTCTAAATACCAATATAAAAGGGATTTAATTGACTGATTTTAAAAGTTGAAAATTGTTCATCTATACACTTTAAGAAGAGTTGTGAGATTTTAAAAAACTGTATGTTCTGGTGCTGCTTACCTTCAACATATTCCTGATATGCTTCAAATATAGATTCGATTCCCTGCCACTTGGGAACCGAAGCCTCTTCTTCCTCCTCATCATCCTCCTCTTCTGAGTCATCAGGACCAGACAGGTCCTCCCTCATCACTGCTGCCTCCTTGTGGAGGGGCATTGGAAAGTGCTGTCCATTGGGCTGAGGGTGGGCAAGGGAGTGGGAAAGGGGCAGGGGAAATGGTGGTGCATTCGAGTGAGGCTGGGAAAGTGGCTGAGGCGGACGGCTCGGGGCGCTCTGAAGCTCGGGAATGTTATAGTGGACCGAGGACTCCTGGAGGTGAGATGAATCTGACACATTTGCTGCTACTCCTGAAGATAAAAAAGGCAAAAATACAACTAATGAGTCATTTCCAATAAGATTTTTTTTCTTTCCTTGCCAGAGGATAACTCATGTAGTTGTAATTTTTACAGTATTTCTAACAAATTATGTGGAGAATTTACAAACAGATTTCTCTTTTCTACATCAAACCCCACATCTTTTCTATGTGTACAAACCTTTTTGTTTTGAGCTGCAAGTGAGAGCATAGCTAATCACTTACATTGAGTACTAAATATATTACTGGATTTCTTGCATTGTTGAAAATTTTGTTGATGAGACTCAAGCTTAAAGCTATAACTTCAGTAAAATATGAATCCTGCAACATGTATTATCACAGAAATTGCCTTTAAAACCATTTTTAATGGCATAATAATTATGACGACTAGTTTGAAGTTGTGAATGTATTTGAAATCGCTGTTGACTATTGTTTAACAGGATTAAGCAGCAATGATACAATAATTCAGAATTTTAAACATTTTACAACTACAGTTACCATCAGAATGACAAAGTATAAGAATAATTCTCAGTTTAAAATTATATTGTCATAGAAATAAATAATAAAACAGAGACATTCCCATTCTGATGTATTTTCAAACTCGTGTCAAATAGATGTACCAAGTTAAATTTATAACTTTGTAAACCTTCAGGCAGCCAAACATGTTTGAAGACTATTAGACTTTTAATTTGTAATTATAGAAAAACTATGTTATATTCATACACAGTAGTTTTTGATAGCACATTGTTGATAAATTACTAAAATATGAGAATATTAACTTACATATGTTTACGAATCTGTGAGAATTTATGACGTTCATATTTTAGCTTCCAGCTGAATTAAGTGTTCAGTGATTGAACTGACCATTGCAAATGCAATTCGGCATCAGATTTTTATTGAACTGACATTGTGCTTTTAAATTACTTTCACACACAAAGCTTGTTACCTTTGTGTTTCTGCAGAGCTTTTTGAGTGGACTGAAGAACAGATTCGTGGAACTGCTGGGCGAATTCCTCCGGGGTGAAGCTGTCCCAAGGTTTTGTGCGGCCATTGACGCTGCGAAGTCCCTCTTTAGCCTGCAGGGGGAGTGGCGGCCGCAAGCTGTTGAGCAAGCTGGAGTTCCTCTTCGGGATGGGTCCCTCACCGGGCCCCCGGGCCTTATCTGGGTAGACAGCTGGGGAGGGGGGCGCCTTTGGCCGCAAGGTATCCCCAACGGGTTTTGGATGACCATTGGGGGATGCTGGGCAATGTGAAGGAGGACTATGCTGTCTGACATTATGGTGGTCTTCAGATTCAGAGGAGTGGTGAGTAAATGCTGGATCTGCAATTGTTTCAGCAAATATTATCATGATGAGGTCAAGATCCACATAATCACTCCTGTGGCTCTGCACTCGGAGACTATTACCGTTCATGAATACTTCACATTTACAGCTATTCAAATTTGTAGAAAAAAAGTTTAGAAAAAGCTTTTTGTATACTTAAGTGATGAAAAAGTGAGTGATTATTTAGTGACAAGGATCTTACCAGAAACATGTGCTGGAGGGCTCTTGCACAGTGGATGAGGTGCATGTCTGACTGTATCCAAGGTCACACTTTTTTCTTTAATGGCTTGAAGCAGTTCCACCACTCTTTCATTGTCTAGAAGAAAACAGTTTAACAGTTTTCATTTACCGTTACAGCGACACCATAGTTAGTCTGCCTAATCTGAGACTGTAGAGATGCAGCCTGAACTCCCAGTTCAGACATGTATACCATCTTTAACAAAACCATTTAAGCTTTTAAAGACATTTTGGACATAGTTTAAAAATGCAAGGTTTTGACAATAATTCTTCATTTGAATGCTAAGGAGCAATTAAAGAAAAGCTGATAAATAAAGGGCTTAGAATTGTAATTTGTCAAACGTGTGTGTGCAAACCGCTTTGCCAAGTCCTCCCATCTAACTGGGGCAAAGCAAAAGTTAGTCATAGTGCACACACTGCTCAATACACCTTGCATATAATGTGGGGATATGTAGTTGACATCATTTTTTGACCCTTTTATAATTTCCTTTGAGGCTTGAGTCAGCATGTTCATGGGAGTGGAGTGCAAGAAAGCCCAACAGAGCTCATCTGAAGTGAAGCATCAGCAGACTGCAGAACAGAATGCAACTGACTTCTGCTTTTTAAGATCCAAATGGGCATCGTTCTGCTGAAATGAGATGCCCAAGACAAAACAAAAGAAACTGATGTAAATTGTTTTGGGTCAGGCTAATGACCCAAGCCAATTTGTAGTTCCTGTGTTTTTAACTCCAAAATAACTTTTTTTCTGAAAATACATAAAAGCGCAGCTAAAACACAACAGGTCCAGTTTACCTGACCAATTTAAGATCTACTTTTTTATAAATTGCAAAAATTAATTTAATTTTTGTCATTATTTTGTTTTAAAATTTTTGCCTAACCATTTTTAGAAGGATAAATGAAAAAATTATGCTATTCTATTTTATTCTTGTAAGATTAATTTTTAATTACAACAAAGTAACTAAAAAGAGTTTCATAAGTGTCATTCCTCCACAGACTGACCTTTTCTCTCCTGCAAGGTGACATGAGAGAGTTTGAACATGGTGAGAAATCGCTTCTTGTCCTCCAGTTCTGGTGCTCGGTCCATTTCCTCCGGGGTGAAGCGCGTGCTGAGCTGAGCAGGAGGGGGTGGGGGCGTGCGCTTGGACTGTGAAGCAGGAGGTGAAGGGCTGCGTTCCCTGAGCATTCTCCTCCTTTTCCTTCTCTTTTGTTGCACGAGCTCATCACGCCGGCTCACGGTGGTCAGGCTAAACATGGTCAGAAACTCTAATTTCTGTATGGAAGCAAATCATACAGGTCGTACTTAGTGCTGTACTGTGATCACTTGTGTTTTCATTTGCCAGGTTAAAGAGTAGAAAGCATATTTTACCTCTGTGGAGTCATCTAGTTTCAGTGGGGGCTGCTCTGCTACCCTCCTGAGATGAGCTCTCACCTCCTCCTCATCACTCTCGTCATATGAGTCATCCAGCTCATAGTAGTAACCTGCAAAAACAGTGTCACAATATTTCACTGCCTCTTGTAAAAATGTCAGACTATGAGATGTGACGTAGGGGAGACTGGGGCAAGTTGAGCCAAAAGGTAAGCGGAGCGACCCCTTGTTGCTAGGAAATGGTAAAAAAAACAAAAAAAAAAACCAGATCATTTGACCAAATGGTTGAGTCTGTGAAGTTAAGAACCACATTGGTAAAGTTGTAAGAAAAAAAAAATAGCGTATCATAAATATCATAAGAATTATGTTTAGAGCATAATATATATTTTAAAATGTGTTTCACTAAAGATAAAAGTGTAGAAATTAAGCTGTAAGCAGAAAAAGTTGAATTGGTGGCTTTGGGGTAAGTTAAGCCAGTTCTAGCGCTCTCTTTCTAAATGTTAATGTTTGCTTTCAAAGCTCAGCAAAAAAAAAATTAATTTTATTTTACAAAAAAGTTGTTTATGAGTAATTTGTAACGAGAACAAAAAAGTTGTTGAACCTGATAAATTGTGTAGAACAAATAAAATGTGCAGGATGGGAAAGAGACTTATTTATTGTAGGAGGAGATGAATGACTGGTGGGGTTGAGTTGATGGGAGAATGAGTGTGTGTGTGTTTATGCTGTGCTGTGAGGTAACTTTATTGGGCATGCTCTTAGTCCAAAAGGCTGTATTTTCTTTCTGACAGCTTGAAGCGATGCACAATATAAGTAAGTTAGCGATCAAACTAAGGTTGCCTTGATGTAGTGATCCTAAATATGAAGAATGGCTCATCTTATCCCAGTCTCTTCTACTTCCAAGCAGGGTCCATCTGATCTTATTCCTGTGTTGAGTACCTTTCTCTCTGGCCTCCCTTCTCCTCTTCTCTTCCAGGTCCAGCTTACTGACAGGCCTTCGGTGTTGCTGCAGAAACTCATCAAAGATCAGCGCCGTGTCTGGGGCCGGCCCCTGCGCAGTCAGTGGTCCAATCCCAGCTCCTGCTGTTATTCCAAGACCTTGTCCATGCCTGCTGTGCACTGGATGTCCCTGCAGGTTCTTCAGTCCAGCATGGATTTTTAAGCTTCCCTCCATTTCGTACTGACTTGGCAAAGACATGGACGCCCTCTGCTGGCTGAGCAAGGACTGGGTGGATTTCTCTAGATCAGCAAGGAAGGTTCCGTGCTCGGAGAACGAGAGGAGTTCTGTGAGGGGGGTATTTCTCAATCACCGCCATGTCTCTCCTTCGAGTTCCATCTTCATATTTCGAGGGCCCCCGACTGAGCTCAAAGTGGCCCATCCCTGAGGGCTCATGGCTACGTCTGGATTCTGAGGCAGTTTCTATGAGAGAGGCGGGGTTCCATAGGGTGGTTGGAGGTGGCGGGTGGTGTTCACGTGGGGGCTGCGGAGGTTTGGGCGAGATGAGGGGTGGAGGGGCGCCTAAGTGGGGGTGATGTTCTCTGCTTCCTGGCTCGTGGTGGTTTTGCATGGACCTGCAGGCAGGAAATTTTAAGACGTTAAAATGCATAAATAAAACAATTTCTCTCCCCAAAAAAGTCTTTCCTTTCAAACACACAGAACAGAGACACACAGCAGAGCCCATGTGCTGTGCCTGCTTCCTCTCAGCCCTGTCGGTGTGTCTGCACTGCAGCGTTATCAAGCCCAGACAGAGTAGCCCTGAGCAGAGTGAGGATGTGGCCAAGGCACACACTTTCCTCCCAACACACAGGCTGCTTTTTTATCTGTTAGGCCTTTGTAGTGCAGCATGCACAGCAGAGAGCTGTGTATGAAAGAAGAGGTCAGTGGAAATGTCCTCCTGATGAGGTGCCAGGAAAGAAAAACATCATGAATGGTAAAACAAATTAATTTTATGAACAACAAACAAATTATAACAGTATTAAAAACTGCTTTAGAGCTGCTAAATTAATGATAACAGGCAAGAAGGAAGAACAGTTGGCTGGTGGATATTTATTTTCCAAGTATATTTCCAAATGAAAATGAGGAAGTATTACACACACTGCATGACTAGTTTAATTATCTATACACGCTGTTTGGGTGTATGTGAATAAGCAAACTGCGTCTTATCTGCAATCTGCAGCCTTTGAGCTGTGATTATGTGATTACACTGAAGGGTTACTGATAGCATGTGTGTGTATGTGTGTGTGCCTCTCAAGTTCTGCCAGCATTAACCACAACCCTTACCTCTGAATCACGAGCAGCACAAACACAGCCACCCTCACAATGAGAGGTAGGTACCAGGCTAATCCTGTGTATGGCTGAGAGGATTAGCCTTTGTGTGTGTCCAAGTAGTCTGACTCCCTGCGTGTGTGAAACCCTCATCAATTCCTGCTCATAAACAAGAGTTATGAGGATTCAATGTTACTATTGTCATCAGCTGATATGCATTGCAGTGTTTTCTTCATTGCAGCACTAGGAGGAACTCGAAAGGGAAGTAGAGCAGATGTCATGTTCCAGAAATGGTTCATCTTTTTCCTGGAACTGCCTAAGCCAAACTCAATGCCAGCCTGGATTTAGAACTGCAGAACACAGCGATCACTGTCCCTACAGGCTGACAGAGTGAATAAAAATCCCACTATTTATGTGTTTTGCTGCAACAGATCCCAGAACACTTTGTTTTCATCAGATAAGAGGAAAAAAAAAATTGTGCAATCACTGAAAGAAATCCTGAAGGCTTGAGAGTGTTAGCTCACCTGTGAGCGTCTGTCCTGTGATCCGGTACGTCAGCGGGCCGGCTCAGATCCAGATGCTGCTCCAGAACCTGCTGGCGGAATTCAGACACCTGGGACTGGCGATCCTCTTTCTCCTGCCTCAGCCTGCGTTGCCGTGCCAGCCATCTCTCCTCCTCGTTGGCCCTCTGCGTGATCATTGAGGCGGTGAGTCCTGCGCCCACAGCGCCAGAGCCCATGTAGAGGGCATGGTTGGAGATCAGACTGGAAACGTGATGGTGGGGTTGGACCATTGATGGGTGGATTCCAGGTGGTACTGGTTTGGGAGCAGGAAGAGCAGGCTCTTTGGCTTTTTCTGCAGCAAGGACAGTAAGAAAATATATACAAATAGCAACTACTTAATAATCTCTTCTACTTCAATACATAAAGTAAGGTGTCATTTCTTAATAAAGTATGATTTGATCATAGAATCAGGTAAATGCTACACTGTCATGATCTTTTATCACCAGTGAAAAATATATTTTATCATATTTTGCTAGCTTGTCATTTCTGCATGCATCTCATTTGCATAGTCGGCACATGGGTTCCTGTAATGTAACAAACACATGCAAAATGAAAATGTAGATTAAAAATGTTGAAGCAAAATCAGCACAATAATCAGGCCACTTTAAAGACTTGTGGGTTGCATATTTGTTCTCACTAATTAGATGAAACTATGTCTGCTTAAGCAAACATTTAAAATAAGCATTTTTATTTTGTGCACCAGATGAAAATAGGTATTTCATTGAAATGAGTCATCCAGTGAGAATAACCCAAAACAGATGGTGCAATTGTTCCAACTATTTTTACTCCTTAGTTAAATTCCCTAACTACTTAGTTTAATTTATGTAGAGCTAAATTACAAATGTAATCTGAAAACAAATAAATACAATTTATATCAAGCTCCATGAATCCAAATTCTGTATAAATGACTGATGTATGAAGTGGCCTACTTGATGTGCAAGTTTCGTTTTTAAAACAATATTTTTGCTTTTGAGATTCTGACTATTCAGTAATAAATCCATACAAAATAAAAAGTTGCTAAAATATGTATTTTATTATTTTTTTTCCTCACTGTAAACGATAAGCCCGTCTGTGTGCTGGTTTTGTCTGAGTAACAGTCCAGAGGTCAGCATATCCATTTGTTTTCAAAAATATTGAGCATAAGTTTGATCTTAGCTATTTCAGTGTTTACAAGCAACATGACTGCAGCTCTTGAAGGCGACACTGGGAGCATGGACACATACCAGCCCGGTTAGGGGTCAGCCTCTCAGGCTTGCTTCGTTCCTCCTGTCCTCTCATGGAGTGGAGCTCAGCCAGATAGTGGTTCTCCATGGCCTTGGATGCCTGCAGCTCCTTCTCTCTCAGAGCTCTTTCCTTCTGCCTCTCCAGCTCCTTCTCCCTCTCCTTTTCCTTCTCTCGCTCTCTCTCGCGCTCCCGTTCCCGTTCACGCTCCCTCTCCCTCTCGAGCTCCTTCTCCCGTTCCCGTTCACGCTCGCGTTCCCTCTCACGCTCCTTCTCTCTCTCGGCCTCACGCTCCCTTTCTTTTTCGCGTTCGCGCTCTCGCTCGCGCTCTCGCTCGCGTTCCCTCTCACGCTGTCGCAGCTCATCTTCCAGCTGGAGTCTGGAAAAACAAATCGCACAAGGAAACAAAACAATGTCAGCAAAATTAGAAGAAGACGACACGTAATTGTGACATACTGCTGAGATATGCTCTATGCATTTACCAAGGGGGACTTTACCTCTCAGACTGCAGTGCTGATAATGAAGGGTGTGCAAAATCTCCAGGGTAGCGGACGCCTGGTAGGTGCATGTGAACAGCAGAAGGGTGGAGGGGGGGTAAAGCTCCCCCTGCTGGCAGTGGATAGAAAGGTGACCTTAAAGCAGAGAGGCAGAACGGGTCATCCATCCTGGGATACGAGGATTACAGAAAAAAAGAACAGAAAAAGAACGTCAGTCAGTCTCCTCATGTGACAGTGCAGCTTTTACTTTCATTAACCTGTCTGCCTCCCTCTTCCAAAGAAGCGACATCCCTGGGTCTTCCATCTTTTCCAGGAGGCAGCAGTATCTGTCAGCTAAGCTCCATCACCACACAAGAACCATGAAAAGACAGCGCTGGATGTTGATGCACAGCCTATGTGTACGTGTGTGACATCCTCAGCCCACCCCTCATTAAATCCATTATGGAGAAGTGTGTATGATGGGTACTGCAGTCCTATGATGTTAGATGACAGACTAGGGGCATGCAGCCAGTGAGAGAGCCTAAAGCAAGAGAAGTCCTTCGCAGCATGCACACAATCATGAGGGAAATTCATTTAAAAGTGTTGCTGCACAAGATTTGGAAAAATGAACAATTACAACATTTTACATGAAAATTGCGATGATGACATTCGTTGCAATTCGCCAGCTTTTTCTCCACTGTTCTGTTTCATTTCTGTAATCAAAATGTTTCCGCAGCTCTTCCAGAGGTTTCGCATCTCACACACTAAAATTTATATCAGGTATGGGCACCAAAGAAAGAGAGGCCACTAGACAAATATACTGCCAGGTGACAAGAGTGTGAATGCACTGAACTCTAAATGTGATCCTGAGAAATGGATTCAGGATCACATGCTTCATTGCACTAATTACAGTGATTTGATATGCTGAGCAACTTTCTTTTAAATTGAAATTCATTTAGAAATTTCAAATAAAATATTTAAGAAAAATTAACACCTTGTTTATTTAAAAAAAGCACTTATTACTTTGATGCAAACCTTCAAGCATACATTGGTAGTGAAACAACTTTAAAACTATTCATGTCTTAATGTTGCTTATGGCATCTGGGTAATGAAAATATCTAAAGAAAATGCTTATAGTCTTCATTGATATGTTTCTTCACCCTAAGTGCATTTTGATAATGCAGACCCAGAAATATTCATCACCATCCTGTTAGCATCAGTTTGTCCAGTGAAGGTGAGTATATCTATCATTTCTCACTACCAGAATGGAGTTTTCCAGTCTTTACTTACTAGTTTGCATGACTAAATACAGCAGTTTGTGTTCAAGTTTAAAGTGGCTTGCATTACCACTGCCACTCAATATGCAGGCACATAATTTGCCGCACCGTGAATCATATTCACATGCACCAAACACACACATATTGATTAATAACTTTGCACCATCAGTAATCTGAGAGAAACTGCAAAGTCAACAAAAGGATTAAATAAGATGCTTACCTGTACGGCGTGAAGGAGGGGTGGGGCAGGTAGCTGGGGTGGTAGTAGGCGGCTGCAGCCGCCGCTGCTGCAGGGTCCAGCCCAAGAGGCAGAGACTGCATCCTGAGGGAATCTTCGGTTGTGGCGTAGGGCCGAAAACTCCGGAGGTACTCCTCTGGTATGGCACCAGGTGGCACCGCGTTAGGCAACTGTCTGGGCAGGCTGGATGGGACGGGTGGAGAAGCAAGGCACAGAAGAAAAGATGTAGTTTGTTTTATTCTCTGTTTATAATTGTATACATTCAGCAGGATTCAATAAGAAATGATGTCAACTAATTGCTTTCAGCACTAATGTCAAAAAGATGAATGTGTGCTGTAGTTGCTTATTCCAGAGAGTCTGATATCAGAAACCATATTGATCACAACATCCAAGTGAGCGGCTACTTCCTGTAACAAAACTAAACACAGATTTAGCAATTTGATAAAGGTGAGAAAAATTATTTGCTTACTTAAGGGGCGGAAACCGTGAATCCTGCATGACAGCACCAGGGGTGAGACCAAAGGCATAGGGGTTTCCCAGGAGGTGAGCAGGGACCGAGGGGCCACCTTTTTCTTGGGAGAAGGTCCCCTCTGCAGCCAGACGTTCCCTGCTGGCCCCACGGGGCCCCGAGTCAGCCTGCAGAGAGATACAAGGAAAGAATCTTGGTCATTGTTCGCTGGGACCTGTGACCGTCACGGTTGTCACAGCTCATGGAGGCAGCCCTTTGAGAGCGAAGATAGAAGAAATAATAGGCCTGTTTGTGGAGTGGCAGCCTCCCTCGCCCAGTCTGCTTACCTCAGGCACTTTTAGAACATTTCTTACACAGTACTCTCTGTTAAAAGCAGACGGCTTAATATTTCTAATAGTGAATGTAAAAGAGTAGAAGCAAGAGGGTAGAGGCAAAGAAAAGAAGAGCTTTTTTTACTAAATGTAAACAAGAACTGACATCCGTATGAGATTGATGAGAAGAGTGATGTTGGAAACGATCATGAGTCTGATCTGAGATAAAGAGAATATGAGTCTGTGGTTTTATCTACAACAAAGTCCAAAAAGCTTCATCCCTATGCCTCTGTTGCTGTTTCTTTCTTCTTTTCCTTCACCTCCATCCATTCTTCCTTTCCTTTTGGCAGCAAGCGTTGTCTCACTTCTTCAATCCCACAACAAACACACACTAACACTCAGCAAGCGCACACACCATTTCAGAGCTACAAAAGACATCCCGCTGAGGGAGTGGGAGTGCGTTTTCTGAAGCTTTGGTTTTCCTCGGCCTACAAACGCAAGAGCAGAGGAGAGATTTTTACACTCCTTCTGAGTTATACAAAGAAATTACTCAAAGGAGGATGTACTGTCAAGGTTTTCCTGGGAAAGAAGGAGCATTTATCACACATCTCGCAAAACCAGACTTAAAATTGGCAAGAGAACAAGTAGGAGGAGAAAGAGGGGAGACAGGGAAAAACAAGATGAGGCCATAAAGACAGTGAGCAGGAGGAGTTGGCAGTTCTTGAACCCACTAAATTAACCTCTGGGTTCCCTGGGAGTAGAAGACCTTACAGCAGTACCGCCGCCTCTCTCACCACTGCCTCTGATAAAACAAATCCCATTTACTGAACCATTAACTCCACAGCTACTGACCCAGGCTGACACTGATGCGCCAACATCCAATCTTAAATGCCTCTAATGGTCAGATTCCTAACATGACCCTTTGTTTAAGCCCCCTCTCGCACTTTTCAGTAGTCTAATGCAGCTATTTACTCCAAGCAGTTTGCTGTGCTCCACTAAACAACGTGGTACTTTATTCCCCCCCCAAAGCAAGCACAGTCTCCTCGACCCCAGCCCAATCCCTTTAAAAGCTTTATGAGCAGTGGGAGAAGGTGGATGTCCGCTGAGGGCCTCAGCAGCCATGTGGAAAAGAGGGATAGATATGTCAAAATATGTCTGTATCAGCAGATTTTGGATACTTTATCCAGTCCTAAAATATTCAGATTTATGTTGTGTCTGAAGAAGCAGACAAGTACAACAAACTTGACAAAAATTGAAAACACCCAATAGTTTCAGATGTGGCAAACGTTTCAGTTCTCTTCACTTGTTGATTCAATCATGTCAAAAGATTAAAACAGTTTGTATTATATATCTTGCCAGATACAAAATTTGATTAAATATGCCAATATTTTTGGATGCCAATTTGTCTTTTCTTATGAATGGACTATTACAAGGCAATTATTTTTTGTCCGTCTGATAGACATCAAGGTCTGTGTAAACCAGATTTTGTTAGTTGTCATAATATTTGAGTGCAAGTATTTTGACAACTACTTTGCACTTTTATCAACAATGAGCAGAACGTTTATCTTTGATGTTTTATTCTGGACTGGTTCACCAAAAGAATGATCAGACAATAGACTGATTACACAGACATGCAAGAAACATTTAGGAGCAGTTAGAGAAAAAGTGAACTGAGTAGAATATGACTCTACAAACCACAAAACAGTAAGTGCACAAGAAAGTCATTCAACTTTATGCCATGATCAATGAGAAGTTCTATGTAAATCATACCAAATTATAAACCAAATTTTGCACCTTAAATTATGTAATAATGTTTCCCTTTATTTTTAGCACTGAAGTTATGGTTTCAAAACCATAAACATTTGCGGTTTAAAGTACTGGAAAGTAGCATTTTATTGCGTGACAGCAGAAATTACAGTCTCCCAAATATCACATCCAAGCACTCTCTTGCAGTTGTAGTAATGCACACACTTGGGTAGAAGTAATGACTGCAAATCAATATATTGGGAAGCATTAGAAAATATGTCAGAATATTTTGCAGCAGGAGGAAACATTTTTAATTGAAATATGTTGATTATGCATTTTTCTTTGTTGGCATGTCCTGTAAAACATTCCGTCTTTCTCAAGGTAATCAAAGTGTCAGAATTACATACTGACCCATACCTAATGGGCTGTGGCTTGTAAACAAGTTGTACTTTAGACACTGATGAGACTGTGTAATTCATAGTGTAATTCATAGATCTGAGAGAGTTGATAGGTTTTCTTTTTTTACATCACTGGAACTATGACGCAAATTTATGTTGAGGAAAAGCCTACCCATATATGACATTAGCTTTTATTTTTGCCTTTTTCTTGTCATATATACACTATTTATTAAGCTCCTATATTTTGAATCCGCCTGAATCCCGGATCATAGCAAACATGAATTAACATCCTACATCCCACTGCTGATGAAGCCATCTTGTAGATGACCTCATACTATCTGTTAACCAGCACTTAGTGTGAAAAAGTTGAACTGTATTCCACATCAGGCACTATGAGTGCGCCACAGAGGCATCTTTTCACCATCAAAGCTGTGATACAATTACTGTGAATTGGTCCAATATCCAGACACAAATTTCCACTGAAATTGAATCAACTGTTCCTTTTCAACTACTTTCACACAAACCTTATAAGAAGATGGAACAGCAATAATTAAGCTGTTGTCGCTGCATATTAGCTGGTTCAATTTCTTGTTTTACAACCTATATGACCACTAAATGTGAGTCAATCAATCGTACATAGAAGATAAAACAAAATGTGATATTACAACAAAGCATTTGTTTTTAGATTTTCACAATATAACAGTGCTTAAATATTATTTTTTAAAATCTTAACAGTGCTAAATGTTTTAGAAAGAGAATATACAATCCTCCTGCGGTAAAAATAATACTAATTTTAGTCTTATTTTATAACAAAATGGTATTACCTGATTAATTATCTGGGCTATGTGCTCTGTGTTAGTCACATCGGTTGCAGCCTACCTGCATTTTTAAAATAGCTTATGTTAATTAGAGTGATGGATGTCATTTATGTTACACAGTACACTCCATGTTTTTTGCAATGGAAAATATTTTTCAAACAGACAAATTTGTCTTGCTTATAAACCGAGGAAATGTTTAAGAACCTTTTTTTCACCCAGTTGACTGGCAATGCACAGCAACAGGTGGGGGCATGAAGTACTGCATTAAATAAATACATTTTAATTCAGCTTCTTTGTAATGCACTAATTCACTACAAAAGTAGTCTTAAAGCGCTTTACTTAATTCAAGCAGTCAAGGGTCTATATTATGATCATTAGTAAAACTTTATTTAAGGAACACTAGGAAACTATACCAAGTCACTATCTTTGCAGGAATTCCCCTTGCAGGAATGTGGAGACAGCGAACAGCTGATTGCATCGAGTCATAAACATTGTGACAATCCCTTAAACTGAGCATCTATCAGCATTTCTCTAAACTTTGTACATACATCCACTTTAAACATCTTGGTATACCATGATTCAAATAACTGACCAGTGCTTCGTTATAATATCTCCTTACAACACAGCTTTGAGACTGTGTTCATCAGTTTCCTGACTTTGGTCTTTGGGATTCTGCTGAATGTATGAGGATACATAGTCAGAAGGGTATGCAAAGGAGTAGGTGTAACAGGTCAGACCTTTGGTAAGGCCCATAGCACTTAGTCACTCAGGCACCTGTACTTCCAACCTGTTATACCATTTGAGTTCTTCCTTATTGAAAATGCACTCTTTACCAGTAGTCCATGACTTTGCACACACTAACTAACAAACACAAGCACTCAAACTCCGAAGACACATCCATTAACAACCATCTTCCTCTGTGCAATCTAGGCCCCTGTAACCCTCAGCTAGGGTGGGAGACCCCGCGCATTGTAGAGTGCTCGTTTATGCCTCTCAGATGGAGCCATGAATCCAAATTGCCAATTATAAAGCAATTACAGGCAGCAGCGGGAGCAGACTCCCGCAGTCATTAAAGCAAAATGCCAACGCACCAAGGCCTCCCTACTTCACTGCGCTGCCTGTCACCCCCCACCTCTGAAAGACAGACTCATATCTCAGCGAGAGATTCTAAAATACCCTTTTAATGCACAAAAGAAGACACAAACATTTTTGTTTGTGTCCTCAAAAAAAAAACCCTCCTTTCTGAGGTTTTTCTAACCTCAGAAAAAAAAATGTTTTTATCAGACACTTTACAAGGGATGCAGAAAACACACTTGTGCCTCTGAATGAGACCATTTCATCTTTTTGTAATCATAGTGTGCTACCCTGTATTAGAAAAGCCTGATACACTATTTTCTTTGTGAAAAAATATTTTTGTGATGTGAGCTTTTATAGTCCTGAGGTTCACTTAATGGTTGCAGCAGAAATGTCATAGATGCCATGATGCCGGCTTTCACGATGCATCTCCCCTGCTGTTCAACCCCAACCTTTGACCCCTTAGCCTAACCTCTTGCCACTATCACCTCCCTTAACCTCTTCATTCTTTGGCAACGTGGCCTTCAACTGCTTTTGGGGATAGCACAAACCCAGTGTCCTGACCTCTTCGGTTTCAGTGTGACCTCCAAGACATACAATCACAGCCGCCATGCAAAAGCACATACACATATGCTTAAGAAACATAAGTGGTGCATACACTAAGGTATGATGGGAGCTTTTGATGATATATTTTTACCTACTGCTATGTGAAGCTTATTTGTTGCAAGAATAGCAAAAATTATAAATTATTTGCTGAGGACAGCTTCATTCATCCGACCCCTCCTTGCACTGGCTGACCCTTGAACTACAGACGGATCATTTTGACAAAGCCGTGGCTGCAAATTGGGAGGTTCAGGGAGGGATTCAGGGGAGAGGACAATGGCCCAAACAACACTGCACATTGCTGTTAACTGACCTCTTTGCCCAGCGCTAACTGTCCCTCTTCAGTCTGTCCCCAGGGAATCATCTAAATGTCTCAGAGAATTTCCGCATGTTGTTGAGTGCTGTTCATGACAGTGCACTTGGCCTTAACCATTAGCCCCGAGCTGAGATAAGAAGCCTTAAACTGCAGCCATAATCCATAATCCACTTCTTATCAAAGCAAGCAGCTCTCCCACTTTCTCTCTCTTCCACAACGCAACTTAAGAGTGTGCGTCGGGTTGATGAGGATCCTTCTGACTGCTGAGGGTTGGGTTGGAGGACTAGCAGTCTTAACCCCAAGACTCGGGAGAGACTGATCCAAGGATGGAATGGGAGTGGGCACAGAGAGGCACAGATGTTGGCTGCCATTATTGCTGTCACCTCGCTGTCCCAGTGGCAGCTGACATTGTTTAATGCATGAAGCCAGTGAGTCGGTGGAGCTACACTCACAGACCTGCCAGCTATGTCACAGACACATATGTCAAGTATATACAGACACGTCATGAGCTGCACGCAGCAAGAAAATGCACTGAAGCCTGAAAAGTCCATCTGGTGTTTGTCGATTGTGCTCGAAGGCAAGTCGAACAATGAGAAGATTTGAACACAACTGTAAGAATCAGGAAAAAAAAGGCATTTGAAGCAAACTAGAGCAACTAAATATGGGGGGAAAAGAAAAAAAACGGATAGACTCAATGTCTGTGTGAAAGGCTTTTTAAATGTTAATTTACCTGCCGGCCCTCGTTCCTCCACAGGCCGTTGCTTGTTTTTGTAGGAGCTATGGTGACTACAGGCGGAGTGTTTGGCACACTGTGACCTGCTGGGGGAACCAGCACAGGTCCTGGACCAAGAGGACCTCTCTTGGGAGTACTAACTGGAGAGCTGTGGTTGGTGGCCGGAGAGGAGACTGGAGACGACTCACTACTGATGGAGGATGCAGCTGAAGAAAAATAAAAACAAAGCAGATAAAGTCAGAAAAATATCACCTGCTGAGAATGGTTTTTATTCTAAGAAGAAAAACGAGGGGGAAAAAAAAGCCAGATGTAACACTTGAAACAAGTTGCACCATGACATGAAATTTATCACAAACAAATCCATATGACATATTTTGTTCAAACTTTATATGAGAGACAGACACAGTGGGATGAATAATTATGAAGATGAAGGAAATTGATGCATAGTTTTACATTGTTTTTAAAAAAATTAAATAGAAAATTATACGTATAGCATTTACGTGTGACATGTGAATGCATTCAGCCTCAGAGTCAATACTATTCACCAGGCCAGTTTCAGATCTGCCTCCTAACAGCCTTTCACTGCAGTTGCAGTGGGAAGTCATTTGGGTAACATATGTACCAGTTTTGCACATTTATAGGTAGACATGTTTACTCTTCTTTACAAAATAATGCGGGGTGACTCAGGATGGCTGGAGAGTGTCTAAATAGAATTGTTTAAGTCAATTTGTGTGATTTTCAAATCCCTCCAATTCTCAATGGGATCTTGGTTCTGATTTCACTAGTTTAACACATGAATATGCTTTGATCCGAATTCTTCCATTGCAGCTCTAGTTGTATGTTCAGTGTTTAGCTGGATGATCATTTCCACTCCAGTGGTAAATATGTTGAAGCCTCTTAACTGTTTTTCTTTAAATTGTCAGCGAATGTCCCATCAACTCTGAACTGCTTCCTTTTCTCTGCTGAAGAACAGCATCCACCAAAAGAACAATGTTACGATCACCCACCTTTATTATTTGCATGTGGGCCAAAAAGTAAAACTTTGGTCTCATTTGACCAGGGCATCTTCTTCTATACATTTACTGTTTGCCCTACATAGTTTATGACAAACTTTATACAAGACTATAGCTTTTGTTCAACAATGTCTTTTTCTTTCAAGTCTGCCATAAAGTGCACAGGATCTCTTGTCCTGTCAAGAGATTCTCCCATCAGGGCAGTGGATCTCTGGAAATCCTCCAGATACCCTGAGCCTCTTGGTTGCTGTTCTGATTAATGCTATCCTTGCCCAGCCTTCCAGGGTTAGCAGTTACACAATATTCTTTCTATTTCTGCATGATGGATTGAACTGTTAGATGTTCAAAACTTGGGACACTGTTTTGTAACCAAAATCTGCCTTTCACTTTGTCACAACTTAACCCAATAATATTAGTTCAGAAAAGTTTTCTAGAAAACATCTTCACTGAATGACTGTATTTATACAGAGGCAAAATTAAACACAGTTGCACTCTGTTTACTAATTAGATAACATCTAAAGGCAGTTGGAGCACATATGCAGGTCAAAAAGTTCAAATGTTTTACCTTAAAAAATGTTGAAAAGCATGTATCCCTGGTCTCCCAATTCACAATTATGAGATCGTTTGTGTGACATAAAAGCTCATTTTAAATGTAATCTTTTGCTTGCAATTTGACCAAATCTGGCTAAAGTTAAGGGATATTATTTTGCAAGGGATGCTATATTCTTTTCAAGCTGGATGAGTATGTTTGATTCAGTTTAATTAATCATCAAGGTTTGCAGGACATAAAACTATAAGAACACACTGTATGGATGTCAACACCAATGCTGTATTTATATGTTGTGCTTACAGGCACATATGTGCCCACCTCTCCTTCCCTCCTTTCCTCCATACATACACATCCACAGCAGGTGGTGAAAAGCTAGTCCAATGAGCTCCTCTGTTGTGATGTAGCTGTGCCACATTAACAAAGCCCTCCAGGGAAACCCTGTAGCGCGGGGTCACGGACTGGTCACATGCCTCACTTTCAGCACATCTCGCTTTCTCTCTCCCTGGCTACAGAACCTTCAATATGATGTCCCCACATTCAGATGCCTTTGTTTAGACTTTCATCTTCCTAACCATAACAGCCTTAACCCCCCGCTCCGGTAGCCTTCTGTTGCTCCCAACTACATCCTCTTTCTCCTACATCCTCTTGTCCTTCTTTCTTCCTTTCTTGACGTTCCTGTCTTCCCGCTTTTTTTTACTGATAAGTTGTCTTTGTTCTTCTTCCACAAGCCTCTCTCCCCCTTATTATGACAGCGCAGTGTGCTGTACATCACCAACTCTCAGAGGAAGTACAGCATTACGCAGTCAAACTGGGTCACAACCCTCTCGGTGGGACGCCGCTGCCGAAAGGACAATGAGAGATGAGAGCTTTGGTGCGCAGGTAGCACGTTTTCGCGCAACGGCGTGCTTATTTTAAATTTGTACGGAGCAGAAACCCCGGGTCGGTTTCAGGTCTGCCTTCTGCCAAATTTCTTCTCTGCTTTGGTTTCCATGGTAACATAATCACAATAACAGATGTTGTCAGTTCACGGTAGGAGCCGTGAAGACATGGGGAGAATTTTACTATTGAAGGGATCAATGATGGCATCGGGGTGATTTCTAACTGAAAAAATATATATATAAAAAAAACCTATGTGAGTGGTGGAGCGGCAGGACTGGCAGGAGACAGCATGAAAAAAGACGTGTGATGAAGAGATGGCAGTGACGTGTGGAGAGACATGAAAATGAAAAATGATGGGAGATGGGGAGTGATTAGTTTATAAAAAAGAAAAAAAAGAGAAAGGTAAGAGGCAGGAGAGAGAGACCAGAGAGGAAAGCAGAGATAAGGGGTGCAGATGTGTGAGTGGTGGACGGGGTTGGGGTAGGGGCAGTCATATCTTGTCTGCACAATAGCAATTAGTGGCCTAATCCTCCCCCCCCCACTCCCCAGCTCACCTCGGAGAGCCATTACTCTCCCCTACAAGACTAGGCCAATCAATAGCAGCCCACTCAGCCTGGGGAACAGAGCTACACTTAATACAGCTCTAGTGTCACAGCCTATTCAGTCATCACACACACATGCACATTCGCAACATGCATACACAAGGATGGGGAAGCAAATAAAGCCAGAAATGGGGGAGTTGGAGAGAGGTGGTGGGGTGGTGGTGATCACAGTGATACTCTACTGCTAAGCAACAGAGCTGTACTATATCTACCCCCACCTCCGCCTGATGCCCCCCTCCATCTCCTTGTCCTCTTCATCGTGGAGGCAGTACAGACCAAAGAAGAGGCAGGGCAGACTAAATAATTAAGAGCAGGAAGGGGAGCAGGTAAGGGAAGGGTGGAAATAAAAGAGACAAGAGCCTTCAACCAACAGCTTCATTCTCTTCTTGCAGCTTGGAGAATCTGCGTATACTTCAAAGCATCCGTCCTCAATGGGCAGACGCATTATACACTGAGAGGAGAAACACAAACACACCAACAGCTATTATTCTTTTATCGTTTCCACCTCCTCCTTTTGAACAGCACCCCTACACACCACCTCTTCATACCCCCTACTTCATTTCCCTTCTGTTCAGACATGGAGCCTGCCAACCAGATGAAGAACTGTCAGCCTTAAAGCTCAATTAAAAAAAAAAAAAAAAAAAATATATATATATATATATATATATATATATATAAAATTACTATTCATTGAGATTTTTTTAAACTGGTTACATTGCAGCATTCATTTACAGACAGTGGCTTACCAAAAGGATCCACACATCTTGAACTGTCACATTTTGTCACTTAGCCAGAAGTGTAATTTTATTGGAGTTTAATATACTTGTGAACCACATTGATGTGTAAGGATGAGGACAAATGGTTTAAAGATTACTTTACAGATAAAGGTCACAAATATAATCATGAATGTGTTCAGCTCCGTGATTTAATGCAGTCCAAAATCTAAATTTTTCTCCAATTAGTGCTGCAAGGGTTTCTACCAGTACTGTAGATCTAGAGACTGAAATTATTGCTCATTTTTAACTCATTTGAGCTGTTACTTAGCAAAACAGCTCAAGTTCAGTCAGATGGACATTATCTACTGATCTACCCATTCCAGCTTTTCTATTTCTGCTAAAAAGAAGTGTCACCAAAGTATGTTGATACTATTTTATTAATTTTTAACAGTGCAGAAAGTATCTTTCTACTCATCCCTAGTGGCCAGATTTGTGGAATCCATCTCTAATAGTTGTCCAGTCAACATATTCTATCTGAGCCATGGATCTCTGCAGAGTGTCCTTCCAGTCTCCTTTTCCACCCAGCTTAGGCAGATTCATGGCTTGGTATGTTTGCAGTTATGCTATAATCATATTTTCTGTATGCGTTAAGGTTGAGTTATTATTCTTGACAAACTGTGGTCTTCTGTGTTTAGTAAGTCTTATGTTTCTGATAGCCAACTAAAAGAATCTGTCAGGAGTTCACTTACCAACTCTATTTATAAGACGAAATTATAGAAAGGTCCACAAATCAGAATTTTATTTACAAAAGACTTTGTTTAGTGAAGAAATACATTAATGCATGTGATTTATATATAACATATGAAAAAGTGAAGATTTTCTACGTTTCTTCTGCTTCCATCCTTCCACACACTTCTCATAACTCCTCAAGTCTTCACCATCCTCTTAAGATTTCCTTGAGGTCCATTAACAGCCCTCCTCTTCCCAGTGCCTCTCCCTCTCGTCACGCTACCACGTGATAGGCAAAAATCCTGCACGCAAGACATGTGACTGGCATCAGCATGGTCTCATCACTGCCAGATGCTCCTCCCCTTCTATCTATAGAGGGAAGATGGCCACACATGCTGGGCCTGCAGGGAGCTGGAAGAGGAGGAACGGAGCAAAGGCTTTCATCCCTAGAGTCTAAAACGGGCTCATCAGCTCTCAACCTGCACTTCATTAACGGGACTGTCACTTCCTTGATATGGTGGGGTGCATGTTGTGTGATGATGAGGTCTGGAGGGGGGTTACAGGGAGAGAAAAAGGGATAGAGCAGTAAGAGACAGAAAGAAAAAGGAACAAAAGAGATAAAAGGAGAATCCTGTCTCAGTACCTAGCTCTATATGATTAATGTGAAGCTCCTTTCTCCATCGTCTCCTCTATTACCAGACTCCATTCTCTCCGAAAGCCTCCTCACTTGATTGCTCAAGCTGATCCACATGCACACACACACAATCAGGGAGCAGAAGCAATAAACAAACCAAGCAATCTGCGGTCAGACGCAGCGGCCAAGTGTCCCTGCACAGCCAATACATTTTACATTAACCAGTGACCCTGTACAAAAAAAAAAAAAAAAAGAAGCCGCCTGGAGTCTTCAGTGGGTCCTTTCATTCATACACACCGACTCTCCTGCCCCTCGATAGGATCTAAAGAGAAACACACAAAAAGGGCTTTAATGTTGCCCAACCCCTCCCAACCCACGGCTGCCACCACCATCACCTCTGTCGAAATGGCTGGGCAGGCATACATCTCATCATGCCAAGAAGTGGCTGCTCTCCTCCATCCCCTCTGCCAACGCTCCCTCCTCACCCCCACGCTCCTCTCTCCCAGCATGCATTACAACAACATCAGCACTTAATTAAACAGTCCATTTCACACCTGGTGTGCATAGCAGTGCCCAGCCAGCCCTGCATCCATATGCCACCCCAACCAGCACAAGCCTCAACACGTGCACTCGTAACACACAAACACATGCTGATGCACACAAACCCTGCACACACTTGCTACTACAGTCTTGGACATGCACTGACAACACAACACAAAGCCTGTAATCTGCATCACTGACTTGGGGGGAGGGGAGAGGATGCACACACACACACACACACACACACACACACACACACACACACACACACACACACGCACACACACACACACACACGCACGCACGCATACAGTATGTGTGTGGCTGTGCCAGTGAGAGAAAGGAAGACGGTACAAGATGGCGGGTGGAAATAAGAGCAGCAATGCATAGTGGCTTCTGCTGACTATACAAACTGTACATCCAGATAAATAATGCCTCATTTGTGATCTTACTCATGAGAAGGGTGCATATAAAGACAGAGGGAAGGTGAAGGAAAGAGCTGGTTTGTGAGTGTTTCAGGGACAGTAACAGCCTGAAGGGTTTCTGCCTTTGAGAAACACACACACACACGCACACACACCCACATACACTGAGCACAGCAAGGCAGTGCAAGCTCCAGGCAGGCTCCAGATGGAGAGGTCAGCGACACACTGCCCCACTGTCCCAGCATGCTCTGAGCTCCCAGAAACAAGGGAAGCCTCTGGCCACACACATGCACTCCAACACACATACACACACACACACACACACACGCACACGCACGTGCACGCACGCGCACACTCACACACACACACACTCACACACACATGCTTTATAACCGACACTTCTGGTTTTCACAAATCTACTAATTACTTCCTAATCCTTTTATCTAGCCAGTTCGGTTCATTACATCTACCCTGAATACCTTTATTCCCCCTCGCTTCATTTTCTCTCCAGCTGTAAAAGTCTTTCCGTGTTTGTGTGTGTAAGCAGAGAGTGGAGAAGAAACAACCGAGATGATTAAACCCAGATCGGCTTAATTAATCAGATATCAGGAGGTCTGCTTTTCTGAGGCAGCGTGCTGGCTGCGTCTGCGCGGATTTGCTTACACATGTGAGCGTATGCTGGATGAGAGTGTCCTTTATGCTGCTCCGATACTCATTATCCATCACCTACCCTCTTCAACACAGCTCTCAAAACACAGAGCTATTCATTATGCTTGCCCCAGACAAGTGACGATGTATGCGACTGTGTGTGTGTACGCACGTGTGTGTGGGTGTGTATATAAACAGCAGCAGTGCTCCGGGTCTTAAATCAGTTCAGTGGCTGGTCACTGAGATACTAGTGCTCAAACTAAGCTAATTCCTTAAAGCCTTAGAACATGAGTCATTACTTCTCTCATACATATATTGCCCCTGAAAGCAAACACCACAGGGTGGGAAAGAGAAGAGGAGGCTGAGTCAAAAGGTAATGAAGGGATAGCAGGCTGCAGCATGCAAAGAAATCACAAAGCTTATACCATTGCAAAGACAACTGTTTATACATGTGGGGGTGTTTGGGTGTGTGTTAGCTATAAATACAGACTGTAGACAGAAAAATGACTTGAGCTCAGGAGCCATATGACTCTCTGCCCACCCTGGAAACACAAAGCTTCCTACACAGGCAGTTGCACCTTGCTGTACGCCCGACAGCTGACTCACTGACACCTCACTACCTACTCCAACCAGGCTGTGTCGTCCTCAGAGATAACAAAGGCAATGTGCTTTTAGTAAAAATGAGCTACATCTGCTCTTGATTCAACAAAGGGAAAAAAGGCACCTCTTTCTTCAGTGAATTTTGAATTACCAATAGCGCTCTGCACACCTCATATAGTGTAAAACAAATTATTGAAGTCATTACTACAAAAAAAGGGGACATGCAATAGAACTAAGATGGAACATTTTGAAAGAAAAGAAATGGGTTCTTTATAAAAGTAAAGTGCAAGACTGAATTTTCTAGGTGAATTTTTCTATTTGACATACAAGGCTAAAGCAGTGAGGACAGATAAAGGACTGAAAGATGGAAAGGGAGGAAAGGAGAAGCTAGCTCTATAGAGGTAATAAATCATCTCAGAGGTTCTGGGTCCCAGACCTCTGTGAGTTGGGGAGCAAATTGTCCAGGGATTTCAAACTGGGAGGGGTCCTTCTGATTTAGGAGCAGCAACAAAGTCGGGAATAATGGTGTAGCACAGCTTATTTAGTGCCAAGGCAAATGGAGCAAAGATTTTCCATTTCAGAAGGCACCTTAAATATTTCCACAATTCTTTGAATGATGAACTACTCAGACTTTTTCTGGCCGATTGTAATTTCTTATTACCTTTGAGATCAGAGTTATAAAAGACTTTTTAGAAGATGGTGGTTTAAAATCCAACAAAACATCATACATTTCTGCATCGCTAAAATGCGTAATATGGTCCTAACTGCTCAAAGGCTTATTGGTAATGGTTTCCAGCCTAATACTGGAGAGAGTTCTTAGTTTTGACGGATTTCATGGGGAGGATAAAAAAAGAAAATCTGATGTTTCTTGAGTAATTGATGCCCCAATCGTAGAACAAAGCTGATCAAGGGAAATTTGACCGATTTCTATCTCTGGATGACTGATCAGTGCATCTCGAAAGAGAAAAACACGGCAGCCTCCTCTAAGTGGTGCCTTAGGGTTTGGTCAGAACTTTCTCTGGAATCTCTTTAAAAATAACATTAAGCTGGAAGTACAGGATGATGGAAAAATTTGGTTTCATCAGCAACTTTTTAAAAGCCCTTAATCTCAATGCTTAATCTCAATGCTGTGTCTGATAGGTGAATCCAAAAGGTATGCATGAAAATCTTATGTATATCTAGTTTTTCTTATTTATAGAACTATTAGATGGGAAACCTTCTTTTTTCTGACAAACTGTCTCTTATGACAATGAACTAAAGAGTCAAGAGAAACAGACAAGTGCATCCAAGCATATGGACTCACACACAGTAAATTAAATGGGTCAGTTGGAGTGACTCCTCATCATACCACCTATCTCCCGGGACAACATCAAATTTAATACAGCAGGGATACCACATGATTCATATTAGCAGTACATTCTCAATAATGGAAATGTTTTTTTCTTTCTGAAATAACTTCAAACATCCATTAGACCAAGGCAGGAATCGATCGTAGTCGCACCAGGTTTTAGCTTTACCTCGAGGTTCTTCTGCCTGTTTTGCCAGTTTACGAAGGGCTGCGGCGAATCCAGAGTGGGATGACTGGGCAGCTGGGCTTCCATTTGCTACGATGGAGCCGTTCAGAGGTGACGGGGTGAGGGGGTTGACCGTCGCCGTTGTACGGGTTGCCGTTGAGATCATTCCTAATGATGGTGACTTTGGCTCATGGCTCATGCCTAAAAATGCAAACAGAAAGAAAGGAGGGTGGGAAGAATTTATTATGTGCACAACTAAACAATAATAATAAAAAAATATGTAACTTTCTTTTGCAAGTTAAACAAAAGCTACTATGCAGACAAAAGTAGCTTCCATGGAAATTAATATTAGAGGAATAATGCAAATAAACATGAGCGAGAAGTAAAAGGCATTTGACTGTTTCCTTTCATACAGAGTCTGGCAAGGCAGATTGTGATGGTGGGTGTCTGTGACAGCTGGAGAGGATGGGGATTCAGGGTCATACGTCCTACGGTCAGAGGTGGAAGGTTAGAAGGGCAGGTCACTCTTCTTTTGCTCAGAAAAAAACCATGCGTGCAGTAGTATGCACGCATGGCCACCAGAGGCCTGCTGTCACAGTTTACACTATTGAGTATGCTCCACACCAACCTGACTTTTTCTCTCACACCTATAAATGTGAGACTATTCACATCCAGTAGCAGCGGATTTCCACAACAAACAAAAGAAAAAAAAGTCTGAGTAGAAATATTGAGATTTCATGGTATGATATTAACAGAAAGATTAAAGCTTATGATCGAAGTTTCAAGCTAAAGATGGAACTCTTCAAGTTTCCACATAGTTTTATTTTTCACTTTTTAACAGTCCAATTCTTCCTATCTACAAGTTTGATAAAGAAAACTGTGCTGAGGAGGTTTGCTCTGGCTGATATTGATTTAAAGACTTCTTTAAGGTCTGGCATGCTGGTTCTGAATAACTCAGATATTCTTCTACTAAGGAATATAACACAAAAAAGGATGTGCTGTAGATTAATTGATAGAGGCATTAGTTTTAAATTCACCAAAAAACGGTAAACAGATTTTTCATATTTTTGCATCAAAGCATATATCCCTGACCCTCAAATTTGATCAATGTGACTGATCAGTCATATACAAGTTTTTGATAAGAGATAAGAAAAATACATAACTACCTTCTTCAGGCAGCTTACCGTAATTGGAATAAACAGCAACAGGTGGAGAAAGGGGATATTCTATAAAAACCCAGAGGAAATGCCTGGGGACTTTCTCTTACATCTCATTAAAACTACAGTAATGGTACAATGGAGAATATCTTCCAGTATTAACACTGTAACTTTTTAAGAGATCTGTATGGAAACTGATCCAGCATGTGCATACAAAAGACAAATATTTCAAAACAAATTCAAGAAATTAAACAATGTATTCGATTATATATATATTTTTTAACTTGTCAAAAGAAAAATGTTAGTAAATCTGAAAAAAAGACCAAGTTTTGCAGCAGACAGAGGGATGTGACAGTGTCAGGAGAGCTATCCCTTCTCTTCCTGTACATATATGATGTGTGTTAGTGTGTGTGTCTTGTAAAATGAACCATGCTGACAGCCTCTCTGTCAGTGGAATCCCTAAATGCCAGAGAGGAGCCTGATAGCCCTACGTGCTCAGGCAAAACAAGCACACACACACACACACAAATAGGGGTGGCTCAGAGGACAATGTAAGTTCAGACAAGATCAGGTTGAGCAGCCAGAAGTATTATCAATCACATATGCTGGGAATCACTCAAGAAACAACCCCCAAAAAGTGGTGAATCATCATTCACTAGCAATATGACATTCACAAGAGAACAAAAAATGGTCTGCAGGTTTATCAACAGCACAATTAGATTAGTAGGAGTTATATCTGGGTTTCCCCAGGGGTTGAGAAGGCTATAAAAAGATCATGTTCCCTCCTGAGAAGACAGCAGAAGCTCAGCACCTTGTGAGTGTTTGGACACACACTCACACACAGTAGCAAGTCAGGAATGACATGGTAAATAGCGTTCCCAACACCTTTTGAGTTGTCCTGCTCATAACCTCTCAGTTACCCAGTGCACTCTGAATGAACCCAGCAAACAATTAATAATGGAATCAACAATGACTACTGTCTGCAGAACAAACCCAGCAGTGCTGAGTCCAGACTCGGTTTAACAGCCCGACTCTGTCAAGACAATGCACTTCAGGCTCCTTTCTCTTGCAAAAAAATCTGTCTGAAAAAGCCGGATACGGAAGTAGGAGAAATCTACCCTCAACTTTCTGTGACTCTAACCAGCCACAGAGTAATAAACCACACACATGAAGCCACAGCACAGACAGGCAAATGAGGGTAACAGCAAGAGAAAGATGACACAGACAAGAGCCTGATAAATGCACACATCTAGAGGTCTGGCAGCGGTTCACGAATCCCTCCGTGAGATCAAAAAGCAGATGATGTGAGCTTCTTACTGCACAAAGAAGTGGAGCCGCCTGGATCCCCCACGGCTGCATCTTCACGTCGAGCCCATCCCAGCACACGCCGGTAGACACCAACAGGACACACACCATCTTCCTGCACTCCTCTTTCTATCTTCTCTCAGCCATCCACCCGCACCCTCCCTGCCAGCCTGCCTTCCTGCCTCTCGCAGACTGTTTAAAAAGCTTATCTAACAAAGCAACACACTACACAGCCTGCCTATCTCTCCCCTCCCTGTTCAAGCGCTCTCCCCAAGTGAGAAAACAGAAATTCTTAGGCAAGCAGCTGCTGCGATGTCACATGACCTCATCTCTTCGCCCCCGCCCTCCTTCCCTCACTCCTCCTTCTCCTCCCCTCTCAACCTATAATTCCTCAGCCATTTGTAGATAACAGACACAGGCATGCATGCCCTGCCACGGCAGAGTGGAGGAGGGGGAGGGAAGAAAAGTCAGGGGTTGGTCACTCCATGTGACCCCATTGCCATGGAGAGTCTCACACAGAATGGGTGGTGGTGTGCACAGACGTGTATGGGTGGGAGCCGGTAGGTTACTTACACATGTGAACCGCCCCACATGGAGCAACAAGAAAAAAAAAAAAAAAAAAAAAACAGATGACATGTCTTGACCTGTGTCAAGCATGACTGTTAGCGAAAGAAAACCTTTTGTAATAAAGCATTCATCTCTTAAAACAACTCAACTCCACCTGGAAATAGCCAAGAAATTATTTCTCCCCAATTTAACACTCACCACCACCCTCAAACCAGGAAGCTATGTCAAAAATGTGCACTGGCTATCTAACGACATACAACAAAAGATACTGATACAATTCCACACCAGCCCCTTCCATCCTGATAACAATTGCTTGTGAGTGTTTGTGAGGTGGAGGGCTCAGGAAAAAGGGTGAAAGCATAGGTTAGACTTCCCCTTCATGGGTCCTGCTGTTATTGCAGGGGTGAGAATGAGTTGTTTCTTTAGTCATTTCCTCCTTCCGTCACTTTGCTGCTTTTCTCAGAAGGGTGATAGAGCATGTGACTGATACAGATAGAGACACCAAGACCAGGGTTATGCTGGAGACAGACACTTTAAAATACACCATCATGCTTCAGACCTTTACACCTTAATCTTAAAGAATCTTGACGGTTCAGGAGGACAGTGTCTGCTTAGTTCTTATTGAGTTGATAAAGGCCTTCATTTACAGAACATTGTCAATGTGTAAATCAAAAACATGATTTAAATGCTTATAATTAAAATAGTTAAGCAATTTGCATAGTGTTATCATAGCTTTTGCTTGTACCTGATAGTCTCTTACTGGTTTCTTTATTTTTTTTTTCTGTCAGCTTTTGACAGTTTTGAAACAATGATACAAAACCCCCCAATAAACCTCTGACAAGACTAACAAGGAAACACTGAAGAATATTTTGACACGAGTGAATAATGGTCCAACGAATCAAGAAGTAGGAAACCATTCATCATTTCTCTTTCAAAAGTGGAAAGCAATCAACATTCAAGCTTAAGCTGCCATTTCACTAGAAATAATGAGGAAATGAATGATATGATGCAGCTTATGATGAAAATTTCTAAGGAATTCCCATATACGTGAGCAAACATTTAGGTTTCAGTGACACAGGATTTATCTGTTCTTCAAGCATCCAGCAGATGGCATTGTGTTACAGTTAATCAGGCAGCTACACAGCCTACGTCACAGACCTCAGAGCTACTGATACACAAAAGGAAAAACAGATTAAAAATGATACTGTTGGGGATTTTGCAAGGGACAAAGGGCAAATCCAATACCATGGCTAAAAACCCTAATGCAAAGTTCACAAAATACAATATTTTGGATCTGAAGCCAAATGAAATAATAATTTCCTGGCAACCTAAGGGTTAATCAGAGGTCTTCCTGATGCAATTAACTCTTTGGGTGCTGCTACGCCCTCAGGGAAAACAAAATAAGCGCTGAAAGAAGAAGTTAGATTACAACAGACATCGTGTAAACAGGATACACCCAAAAACACAACTCTTGGTTAATTTACACACAAACAATGTTTCTACACATGCAGGACTCCATATCAACTTCCATTCATTATAGTCACGTAATTCAAACTGAGCCCAAACACTTTTTCTAACCACTACCAGTTTATTCTTCGCTCTAGCCTTAGCTTAACTCCATTGACATCATACTTCTAAACCCAACACTTACCCTAAACAAGGGGGTCTACCACATTAGGACCAGACTTTGGCCCTCATGAGTCCCATCGGTCTTCAGAAGGTTAATGAATTTACCAGAGAATGTTCTCAATAGGTAACAAAAACAAGTACACACACACACACAATAGCAGATTGACTGGGAAATAGCAAACAGTAAACACAGTTTTAACACCCAGCTGGTAGAAAAGCTGATCGCTTACTCCCATTTTCAAACACACTGACAGACACACTATGTTCCACCCTTTTGTGGTTGGAATGCAGATTACCCTCCCTCTCTCTTACACACACACACACACACACACACACACACACACACACACACACACACACACACACACACACACACACACACACACACACACACACACACACACACACACACACTCAAAGTAAATCCCCCTGGCTCCTGTGTGCCTTGGCCAGTAGAGAGATAATGCAATGGCAGCTCAAGCGGGTGGTTAATCTTTAACCAGGAAGGGATTTGCCTATCAGCTTGTTAAAACTAGCAGCACA